AATCAACTTGTAAAGTCAAGGTTATATTCTAAATTTAAACAAAAAATGGTATCAGATTGTACCAAGTACAACCAAGGCTATGTAGCAAGTTCATCCAAGGTTAATCATACCATAAATAGATTAAATGAAAGGAAATACAATTTTTTATATCAAATTCCAGTAGTATATAAGAGTTTGCTCGTTAAAAATTTCTTTATTATAAAGAAAAATGGGTTCAAATGTGTCATATGAAGATTTTTTACTTTATTTGAAAGATAAAAGAAACAAAAATCGTTTCGATTTGTTTATAAAGAGAAATAAAGAAAAAAATTTAAAATCAAAAGAAAATCAATTTCAAGAAGAAAATCAATTTCAAGAGAATAATGAATATCTCTCTCTACATACACCTATGACGGATTGGATAAATACTGAGAAAAATAACGAGACAAATTCTGAGACAAGTGGGATCGAAAATCAAAATCGTATATCATCATCAACAAACTCTCCACAACCCATGGATGAAGATACAGCAGAAAAGAGTGATGGTAAAAGTCCTTTGAATACTTATAACGATAATATTCAAAAATCATCTCCTTTACCCTTAATTAATAATGTATATTCAACAAAAGATTCTCCTACTAAAAAAAATACAACTCTTATGAATATCATGTCTCCAATCACAACTACAAGTATGATGTCACCAAACACGAGTCTTTCTTAAATTACAATGTCCCCACACCGCGCACTTTTTTAAGAGAACTTGGAGACATTGAATTTAATCAAGATCAAGGATTTACAACTCCTCCTAATAATAATACTGTGAATCAAAATGAAGGAAATACATCTCCTCCTCCTGAACAAATGAATCAAGATCAAGTATTTGCTCATCCCAATCTAGTATTTACAAGTCCTCCTCATAATCTTAATGAATGGGTAGGAAAAAAAGACAATTAATGGATGCTACTGAAAGTATAAAAAAAGAGGACGTCCGACCAAAAAAAAAACTTGAAGAATACAACAACGAAATCGGAAAAATCCTGAATACTCTTGTAATATGTTATCTTTCAACAATGGACAAAATTATGTTAATAGACAATTTTATTCACTTATAAAAGGAAATATAATATGTAAAATGAGGAAGAAGCCAATTTTTAATTGATCTGTTTGAGAGAAGAAAAAAATTACTTGATCAATTAAAAGAACTCAACCAAGAAATTAATTTAAACAACACAATGGAGTATTTTTTTAGAAAAATGTCTTAAAATTCTTTTATATACATCAAATTGTAAATACTTCATCTAATACTTTATATAATACTTCATATAATAAAAATTCATGTTTTTGTATTTTATTGAGGGTAGTATCAGGTTGTACCAGACACGGTTCTTAAAGATGCTCGCTTAATTGATGGAATGGTTGTTGGTGTTAATAAATCAGTTCTACATATCGGACAGTTAGAAAATCCTTGTAATAATAATTGTGTCAAACAATCAAAATGTATCTTGTGACCACATTTTAACATTCCGATTCCAGTTAATGTATCTTCCAAACATATCATACATTGAACATGTTCGTTTTGCATATATGATATTGATTTTTCCTTTTTCCTTTTCGAAACACGATCCACAAGCATCACAATGAAATGATCTATGTAATTTAACTCTACAAACACCACATTTTACACAATGATAAGGATCTTTCGAATAATCATCGTAAACCTTACATTTGTCACAAAAATAATCAGCCAACTTTTTCTTACACTTGAAACAATATTGATGAATTCCTTGCTCAAACCACAATAATTACACATTATCCAGGAAATATCTTTTGGATTGACTTTTTATTGCAAAATGATCTTTATTATGACAATGATGACATGGATAAAATCTTTCACAACATTTAAAATAAAAGAACAATTTTTTAGAGTGTATACAATTTGTAAACATACATTGATACTTCTGTATCCGAGACATTTTTCATCAATCTGTTTTTACATGGAGGGTAAATTATATATATACACACATCTTCACCTATTCAGCTACATAGGAAAATATTTTTCAACATTACTGTTCATAACTACTTTCATTTGTTCAAAATGTTGATGATTATCATCATTTTCATCCAAATATTTTTTAATACTTTAATAAATGCTTCAATAAGTGATTTTTGTTCAAAGATATATTTCTTTTCAGTTGCATCAAAATTCATTATTAAATTATCTTCTTGACATTCATCAATAACATCAAAAACCCTGCACTGCTTTTTCCAACTCAAAATAACATCTGAAGATAGAAACACTTTATTCGAAATATCAACATCAGCATCATCATCAGGAGTTAAGAAAAATACTATAGTTCTGCTTCGCCAATCCGCCATTATCACCAGCAAGAAATGATACTAAACATCTAACACTCAAATGTCAATCAAACTTCGTCTTCTTAAATATATTTTCTACATCATCTGGTAAACTGAAGCGATCTGGTTGTCGCATGATGATTGCGGTGATATATATAATACTTTATCCATATTAAATTTGCATTTGAAGACCGCAACCATTTTTCCGAAATTTCAGCAATTAATACAATAATTCTGTACAAAACAGTCATTTTACCAGTAAGAAATTATATTATGCAATATCCGCTACTTTTACCATCTTATATATATCATATAGTTACTATTACAATTTTTCAATAATATTTTTATAAAACACTTTAATTAAATCCAATTGTGTAATGTGCTTATAAAATTCTTTTCATCATGATAATAAAAGTAGTCTTCCAATTTTTCTATAAATATGTCAATACTATCTTTTCGCTGATTATCATCCCTTCATCATATAATTTGAAATTAAATTTTCTTCCATCTTCAATTTCTTTATTAAAATAATCATTCCACCACCATCAATGAATTTAGATATATATTCTGATTTCATAATAATTTGACTTAAATCTTTTCTTCATCAAAATCTTCATCGCGCTCAAATATAAAAGTAATGCTATGATTTGAAGATTTTGCCATTATCAATTAGACAGCAAAACATTCAAATGAAAATAAATCTTTTATTGAAGATTTTACATTAAAAGAGTGATAAAAAGGGTAAGAAATTCGAATTTTTTAAAAATAAAAAAGAAATATGATGAAAAATTGAGAAATTCAATTTTTTATAAAAATAAGAAATATGTTTTTATTTATTTACTAAAAAGTGTAATATATAAATCCTTAATATCAATGTAGAAAGAAAGAAAGATGGAAAAAAATGATGTGGATAACCCTTCCAAAAATTATGGTGGATTTGGAAATATTTCATATGGAAAACCACCAACATTTCGTGAATTTAATAATTTTAATTCACACCGTATTTCTCCTCTAAAAATATGTAAGCAATCAACATGTACAAAATGTATCTATTGTGAAATTGAATCTTCTGTAAATTCAAAAGTTTTTTCTGAATTTAACAAAATAATACCAGTAATAAATGGAGAAATAAAAAAAATTGAAGAAAGACTTACAGAGAAAATTGATGAATTTATAAATCATCTAAGAATAGAATTTGAGTTTAATATAAAAGAAATGTATGAAAAAGTAGAAAAAGATATAAAGTAAGAAAAAAAGACAAAAAAAAAGATTTTTTATTAATTCAAAATAAAATTATTTGGGTAAAAATGTTTGTACTTATAAAAAAGAAAAATAAAAAAAACCCATAAAAGGAAGCATTACAATGATTGGTTACTAGTAATCATTGTGAGGCTTGCTTTCATGGTATTATTTACATGATGTCAAAGAAACTGGTAAATGCATCAAGACTAAATACAAGAGAAAATACTAAGCCACTGAACTGTATTAACTATGTTGAAAAACATTCTGAGAAATATCCCAATGGAAAATGTGTTTACAGCCACAATGCAAATGAATTTCTTTGGAGAGGAAATATTGTTCATTGGTTGAATAATCGACAAGAAAGAATTCAACAGAATCAACTTTATTATGAAGGAGATTATGAACTTTTCAATTTCCATATAAATCAAATAGAGGTGAAGTTGAATATGTTCCCTATTCTTTTATTTATGGATAAGGCAAAAGAATATAAATATGTTGGTGTTTGCAATCGTTTGAAGTCGTTTTTTAAGAAATAACTCAAAGCAATAAAAGAAACCCTCATTTACAATGTGTGTGTACAATGTGTGACATACCATCTTCTACAAATTCTTTTACATGCGTTTGTGTACAAATAGAAGATTGGATTAATTGGTTTTGGGACGACAAAGTTGGTGAAAAGACTGAGTCATATTTGCGATTCTTTCTTGTCGATGATATATTGAAACGAAACAATTTATACCATCAGTAAATTGGACTTTGGCAAAATTTAGAATGTGTAACATACAAGTTGGGTCAAGTTTTTATCCATGTCTTTGTTTACAAATAGAAGATTGGCTTAACTGGTTTTGGGATGAAGAATTTGGTGAAAAGGTTGATTCCTTTTATCGATTTTTATTGTGGATGAAGCATTGAAGGAAGACAATTTGTATCTTCAATAAATTGGACTTTGGACTTTCCATATATCATTTTAAAAATTGGACTTTGGACTTTCATCAATGTAATTATTTTATATTGTATTTGAAATATATAACTTTTTTATAAAATCTTCTTGTTTATGTATTTTATATTACTCTTATCCACTATTCTAATATATATATGTATATTATCACAGGCTCACCCTTCTCTATTTTTATGTTTACTACCGCTGACTGCCTCAAAAACGATCCCCCCGGTTTTTTTTTATTATAAGATGTATTATGACTATTTTTAGACATAATACATTTTATAATAAAAAAACTTGAGCCTGCGATGATATATATATATATATTAGTTAACTACTAAAATTTGTAATCTAGACATAATTCTTGTTCAAAATTGAAAGTTTCGCCGGATTGTAATAAGCTAATAACTTCATAAATTCTGAAGAAGGCAGGAAGCATCGAGTCGAAAGCTCAATATAATTATATATAAAAATCCGGAGAAACTTTTAATGTTTAACGATATATTTTATCATATATACATAAGATGATAAAATATTTATAGGTTTTTTATACATCGTAAATGACCTAATAAACACAGGACGTTAAATAAATGAAATAGCAGCCTAGAAAGGGGAGGGGGGCCTTCAATTGACACAAGGAGTTAAATAGAAAGACGTTTACATCATTCTCTATCACCATATTGTGAGAAAATAAAAACAAAGTCAAGACTAAATATACGGTTTCTTAGCCCAATCGATAACCCACTGTTAACAATGGCAACGTGTGGGGTGCAACTATTGGAGTCAAAGCGTTTATTAGAGAGAATCGTCTCATATAAAATCAAGTTTCAATGGAAAACAATTCGTACGTATTGTTTTCAATTGCGTTTACAGGTATTTGGGGATCATGTATTGCTGAATTGTATAAATTCCAAATGTCGCGGGTGTTTTCAAATATGAGCAATTTTTTTTAAACACCCTGCATAATCTCCATGATGCATTCAAAATCATCACCACAATCCAACAAAAACAAAATAAATGCACAAATCCTATTTGTAAATAATAAATGACAAAGATCCACAACAAACCGGATTTCCTTCTCTATTTTCTCTATCGATCGAGGCATACACATGTGGTGCTGCTTTACTTGTTGGTGGTTTACTTCTATTATCAACAGATTTATTGGGATTTTCTCTAAGTTCTCCAACCTCTTCATAATGATGATTGGGTTGTGCATTATTAGCTCCAGCTAAAGGTTCAACACCATTTTCACCACTGCAACATTAACAACCATGATTAAATTTTTAACATGCTATGGACGAAATCCGAGAAAAACTTAAATAGCAACAAAAACAGTTACTCAAAGTTCTTCACAGCACGAACAATGAGACGTTGTGAACTTAATTATACACGACCTTCTCACATTATTTTACGTTATTTTCACCACGGCGCCAAATGGCCCGTCGTGTTCGATATTTCCCCTTATAACTGATACATGTGACAAAAACACTATCACCATTACAAATTATACAAACACAATTAAAACAAACAATTCACTTACTGGTATCCATTTTCTACAAATAAAAGAAGACAAAAGTAGATGGTTAATAATCTGACATAAACGACAGCTTTTAAATAAAAAAGGAATTCTACTCAACGTTTCCAACCATGAAAAATTCTTATATGAATGTTTTATGAATGTTTTATGCAGTGCGGTGTTTGAAATTAAAAATTAATTAAAAATTCTTATGTTGAACTTACTTTGCTTTGATTTATAACAGCAGAAAATGACAACTAGAATGGCGAGAAGGAACAACATTCCAACGACAATACCAATGATAAGACCGATGTTTGATACACCGTCGCCATCTTTGCGAACTTTGATAAATTCTATCAAACAGTGTTATTAATAACTACTAGGTCAAACAAATATTTAAAAATAGCCAAAAGCCAGACTAAAACAATTGTCATAAGCAAAAAAGGAACACTGAAGTATGTTAGCGTCCTAAATGGGAACAAAATTGCTGAATTTTAAAGAGAGCTTTAAAAACATTAAGGTTAATACATGCTTTCCAAAAATGATATTTCCACTTGAAATTAACAACAGAAAACGTTAAAATTACCGTTATTAGTGGGAGCGGAACTAGCTGATGGCAAAATGGTCATCGACGAAGACATTGTCGGCAATGAACTGGAAGAACTTTGTTGGTCTAGCACATTGACAGAAATGGTTCGTATTAGAATTACATCATTAATGAAATTCTTTTATTTCTGTTTTTTATAGTATGTTAAAACACATTTAGAGTGCCATGAAATACATGAAAATAGTTTAAGCGCCAAGTAATCTATTTAAATTAATAAACTCAAGGCAATTAACGTTTAAGGCAACTTTAATACCGTTGAAATGAAATACAGATATGCTGAAATTTTTTTTACTTACGCTTACTGAAGAATGTATACATATAGCAAGAAATAATATGGTTAATGTTACTGAACTCCCCTACATTTACTTCACCACACTAGAAACAACAGTAGATTTTTCTTTAAGCTCCCCTAACTTAAACTTTAGTTTGTATCGACGACTGAACGACGAAAACTTCTGTATTTTTTGGCGATATTGATATAACGCTGTGATTCTCTTGTTATGTGCGTACTCACTCAACTTAGTGTACGCTACAAGTTATGTTTCTGCCTACCTATAGTTCAATCTCATAAAGAAACGGACGGGAAACTAAAGTCTTGAGTTGGTGCGGCAATAAAATGAAAAGCTGTTGCATTCGTAGCAATCTTCTAGTGTTTAATATAATTTCATACGACTGTTTTAAGTGCAGCGAAGTAAAAGAACTTCATTAATATTTTAAGATGACCATAGCCCGTCAATTTTTGCCACCAAAATAGCTCGTACATAATGAAAAATAAAAGTCCAACAAGAGATAAACTGAGATTCTTAAAGTTACCTCGGCTGACAGTCAGATTTTTAACATCAGATAAATCACTTCCACGTTTATTCTTTGCTTCACAACGATATGAACCAGCGCTATTGAAGTTGACAGATTGAATGATGTATGTCCTGTCATTACTGACAACACGCATATTACCAGTACCATTATGATAAATTGTGTAGGTTGGTTCAGGATAACCATCTGATTCACAGGTTATTGTCACTTCATGATCTTTTTTTACTGACATTGGACTGATGGTAATATTGGTTTGTTGTGGTGGATCTGTAAAGAATAAAATTCATATTCTACTGTCTTTATAGGTTTTTATAATTGCAAACGTCGAAAATGAAATTTGAAACAAAATTATGAAACTTACAAGCAGCTTTCACTTGTATTTCAATGGATTTGTCATCTCTAAAACGTGGATCATTATAACTTTGTGCTTTACATCTGTAATTTCCACCATCATTCATTGTAACATTAGTGATTACTAATGTCTTACTTACAACTCCAACATCATCACCAAATATGTTGTTATTTTTATCAAACCATGTGACATTAGCAGGAGGGTTACCTCCTTCACCTCTACATACACATGACACATTATCACCTTCATTCACAACCAGAAGATTTGAACAATTGTGTACAACATTTGGTTTCACTGAAATTAAAAGCATAAAATTTTCATCACTTAAATATGTTGTCATTAGTCCGTTTTGATAAGCACAGTCAAATTTATCTGGTAACACATAAGGAGAGCAACATTTTAAAATATGGGAAAATTTGCTGTGACTATAAATAACATCTTGGTGTTAATTTGGGCTTAGACTCAAAATTCATTTACTTCGTTGCCATATTTATTTAGGAGCCACACGTTAGGTCTGGAAGACAGAAAAAGAGTTGGATAAAGTTATCAATTCAAGCCTACGTATGTTTTAAAACGAGTCACTTTAAATCTTTCTTTTCTCATATACAAAACATATATCACTCAACAAGTCGCGAAGTAAAAAACCTGCATGAATCAGAAGAACATTTCATTACAATTAATCTAATTTTCTGTCACAAGAGAACTTAATTTTGGGAGTTGGTAGATCTTATCTGCCAGCGGTTAAAATATACCGAGGCCTTTATAATTTTTCATATTACACACAACCTCTTTCAATAATTGCTGAATATTGTATTTTCAAACGAATTCAGCTGGGCAGAGCTGAATGTAAAATATTCATACCAATTGATTGGCTAACGATAAGGGCCAAAACTTGTATGCTAATTAATTCACCATATCTCAACACCAATCACAACTTTGGGCAGTTGTGAAGAAATCGGTACAATTCTTACTTCAAGGTCCGAATTAGCGCTTCGCAAATCGCAAATTGCGAAATGATTTCGATTTTGGCGAAATATTGCGAAGCAAATTTCGTAAAATTGCGAAGCTCATTTCGCATTTCTTGTTATTTAATGTAAATTTGCTTACTGAAAGCACTCTTTTTATATTGCTGTGATGGATGTGTTTTTATTATGCTTTGCGACCACTCCCTAAGTTTTAAAAACGTCAAAAGAAATATCAAATGATCAAATTTCTTGCACTATTTGCATAATTTCAAAGCGTTGCTATTACATCATGCCTCAGGAATGTGACTAACAGGAATTTATCGTAAAATGGTCGCAACTTTTTAAAAAACGTCGCTATCAATTGTAATATGAAACGTAACATTTTCAATATTATCTGAAAACGCGAAGTGACAAAGTCACAAACTAATACACACTGCATACGTTAACGATGGCGAAGCAAAACACTGTAGAAAATTGGGAGCGAGATTTAAACGTTAAATTGATCAAAAGTCTTAGTACAGATAAGAAAAAAGTAGAAGCGTTAAAATGTTCTGTCTGTGTGGAATTCTCCTCAACAATTTCTTCAATAGCTGGTTTTTCGCAAGCATGGATAGATGGGACAACATCTGTCAAATTAGATAGCTTGAAAAAACATGTCCAAGGTAAAGCACATCAACATGCAAAACGTCTTTTTGATCAGAAGTCCTTGGGCGAAACTTTTGGCGCACAAGTTGTTGAACGATCTCCAATTGGAAGAGGTTTGATGAAAATGCAGAGATTGACAGGAAAGTAATGATTACTCGTTTCAACACTGCCTACTATTTAGCCACTTCAGAAAGACCCTATAGCGATAGTGAGGGCATCATTACGTTAAACGAAATGAACGGAATGATTCGCAGTTCCAAATTCCGAAACGAGCGTGCTATGGCAAACATCACTGATTCAATTGCTGACAAACTCAAGCAGAAGCTGATGTCTGAATTGAAGAAAACACGCTATTTTTCTTTGTTGACCGACGGCAGCACTGACAAAGGCGTTTCTGAACAGGAAGTTTTGTATCTCCTTTTTATAAGCAGTGAAGGTAAATGCAATACACTGAACTGAATTATTTCGATTCTTGTCTTTAGATGCGTTATTTCTATTTTTTCAATGGACAGGTATCCCTCAAATAAGGTTTTTAGCAATTGAATCACCTACATCAACAAGTGCAGATGGCCTTAAGAAGATGATACAGGATTGCTTTTCCCGGTTTCACATGAACAATTTCCCAAGACAACTGGCAGCGCTAAACGTGGATGGAGCTTCGGTAAATTTGGGTAGCATAAACGGACTTGCAGCCAAACTTCGCAAAGACTCACCATGGCTGCTTACTATTCATTGCTTCAACCATCGCCTTGAACTGGCTGTTAAAGACGCTTTTAAAGGAACAGGTATGGTGTCACAACAGTTAGACACTTCTTTTGTTTAAGATGTTGAATTTCAGAATAATGTGTTCATAATATATACATTACTCATTTAATCAGAATTTGACGAAGTGGATGAGCTCCTGACTAAATTGTATTACTTGTACCAAAAGTCGGCAAAGTGCTATCGCGAATTGAAGGGATTCAGCGAGATTTTCGAAAAGAGCATAGCAAAGCCAGCCAAAGCCTTTGGAACGAGATGGATCACCCACAAGTTGAAAGCCATGGAGACCTTTGTTGCCAATTATGGCGCATACATGCTACACATTGAGTCATTTTCCCAAACAGATTCGGTGCCAGCAAAAAGAGAAGAATTGAAGGGTTTTTTGTCAAAATGGACGTATGCAAAGTATCCTATGCTGATGACAGTATACATTGACATTTTGACGCCTTTGAAGGTAATTAGTATAACGCTTCAATGTTCAGATTTGCTGTCTTATCACAACATATATAATCTGGTGCAAAATTAAGAGTTGTGACTTTTATTTTTAGGTTCTTAGCCTGGGATTCCAAAAGGAAGTTCACGACCCTGTTAAAGCGGTGAAGCGCATTAACGAATTTGAGTGGACTATGGTCAAACTAAAAGAATTGATCAATAAATGCGTTCAGGACGACTCCGAAAAACTTATTAATTTCATCGGTTTTTGAAGGAGTGCGAAGCCACAAGTAATTGATGAATGAGTCCCTGACTTTACGTACGCTTGAAATGTTTTTTTACATAGTAGAACCTCACCAACCTTTGACAAAACGTCAAAAAATTACCAGGCATCAAGTGGAAGACTTTGAAGACGATGAAGATGAAGCAGGTACTTTTAAATGTTGTAATTAGTGTTTTGTAAATGTAATACTTTATGTCGTAGCATTGCCTTTTCTGTTTCTGAAGATGTTTCTTACCAAAAAATAAAGCTAAAAGGGTTTAATGCGTCCCGGAGGAAAGTAACGAAAACTTATGAAAAAATTATTGATGCAGTGTCTAGGAGTGTGCAAGGAAGATTTGAAGAGTTCCGAGAAAGTGTGGTGTTTAAAAATCTGCCAGTCATATTGGACTTTGCAATGTGGCCCAAGGACGACGAAGCACTTAAGCGGTATGGCGACAAGGCAATTTTAGAACTGAAAGAGTTTTACCAGGCTTTACTTGTTCAGAATGGATGCAACATTGACAAAGTCGTCTCAGAATGGAATCGTTTGAAGGTTTGAATAGTAAATGCATCGTTTTCCTTTCGTATTATACAGTTGGATAACTGAATATTTCTTCTGCTAGTGCCACGTCAAAAGCTACATAGTTGGAGCAGAAAAAATGGAAAAATATGTAAATGTATGGCAAAGCATCTGGGAAAATGTTATAATGCAAAAGAGTACATATAATTGAATTGTTGCTCATAATGCCAAGTTGGAGCATTGCAGAATTGTTGCTCATTCAGCTAAGAATTCCAAATGCGGAGGAAGCTCTCCAATATTGGCTAGAGCAAAAGATTAGACGCCCAAATGAGGCAAAACCACGAAAGTATCCAGCAGAAAGGCGATCAAAGTCAGCGTCATCTACAAACGTTGTTGATATTGCAGCAGCTACGCTTTCCGATTTGGAAGAGAACGAATGCGAGGATTTTAGTTTATAGTTTTTAAAATTAATAAAAAATATTGGCGTAATCATGTGCATTGTAAAAATTGCGAGAGGAAAGTAGATCGGGGGGGGGTCGATCGGAACGGGGGGGTCGGTAGGAACTTATTCGAAAAAAGTTGCGAAGCAATTTTTTTGCGATAATTCGGACCTTGTACTTTTCAAAAATATTGATGAGTTGAAATCAGCTTTACAACTGTGCCCCAGACTAACTACATCTATGCCAAAGCGCATTAATCCAGTTATTCAAACTAGAGGAGGGCCTAATTACTGACTACCTAAATGTATACATTTTTTGTGTAAATTGAAAGCTATGTATTTGTTGATTTTACAATTTATAGACATGCAATAGTATCAATAACACCACAAAGAGCCATCACCTTGTTTAAAGTGTTGCGGTTGTATTTTTACCATTTGGATTGTTTTTAAATGTAGCTATATGAATAAGATTCCTAAGTTGGCAATATTATTCTAACTTACTGAGCTGCACCAGTTTAATTTCTAAATACAACAAGTAACTGTAATAAACGTTTTTTCGCCAAAATTTTCAGGCCAAGTTTCCCCCATTAAATACTCAGAACAATGCATACAACACAAGAAAGACTGAAATAATTTAAACATACCAGCAATATAAACATTTACTCTTGATCGAAGAGTAGGAAGAACAGTTGAAATAGCTAATGTAAATTCACCATTGTAACTTTGATTTACATTCTTCAGCCACAAAGTTCCAGATTTAAAAACTTCCACTGTTAAAGGTGATGGTGAATATTGGAGTCTGTCACTAATTTTTGTTTCCAGTAACATTTAATGTCCAAGTTATATTGTGAGAAGATCCAGGTAAAAATACAAATCTTTGACCATCAGGTGGAGATGTTATTGTTCCTGAAATTGAAATTGGATATTAATATGTCAAAAACCATTTATGAAAAAACAATAGATGCATGGTTGTAAAAAGTTATGTACCTCTGCAAGACGAAATAAATATTGAAAATGCCACGATTAAAATTCTTAAACTTGCCTTCATTATTTTTCCTAAAAAATACAAATATTATGTACGGCTTTAGAATTCATTAGAGTTAAGAGCACCATTTTCAATTTCAACCACACCATATAGCAAGCTGCACCCACATCATCTACAGAATACTTTGATGCTCAATCCGGTAAATGCAGTATTTCAAATGCATTCTTTAATAAAATCAATTATCTGTTTCTTTTTCTTCTTAATTAATTTGGAAACAAATATAACGAATATGATTTTTCTTTCAAAACTTTCGATTCTAACTCTATCATTATCAAGTAATAAGTTCACAGTTTCAGTTTGAGTGTATTTTCTAAAATTACGATTGTTGATAGACTTGCATTTCACAGCGAATTGCAACACTTTATTACATTAAACAAACTTGGAAGGTCATCAATTCGGATAAAAAGAAACTCACAAGTTGAAAGAAATAAATTGATTTGAGTAGAAAAGCAAAGTATTACTGGAGGCAGGAGCATAGATCAACGAAAATAAAAGACATAGCATAATGATACATATATAACCAGGGCCAGATTAACCTCTCAGGAAGCCTGGGGCCCATCGTATGTTCGGTGACCTTTATTGCATAAATTCCCATGGTAATACTTAGACCATACGACCTAGGCATGCAATAAGCAGAAACAGTCCGGTTTAGTCGACCTGTTTAAAGTAACTAAACAAAATTAGTTTCTCACTGAGGGAAACTAAGAAGTAGTTCATTTTCAAATTGGCTTTATTTTGATGACCCATCTCCCATGCTGGATGAGTCATCAACAAAACCAATCATATATATACAAGTTGATTCACCCAAACAGATAACAAATGTTCACAACTGACGAGTTGTTTGCCTAAATGCAAAGTTTCTAAAATAGTTCTTTTCCGAACTCTTGATGTTTTCTTCGTTTTCTCTGTTTAGTTTTTTCTCGGTTTTATCTAGGGTTTCGTGGTTTTTATTTGGTCTCCAGTCCATTCGCTATGGCAATTGCTCTCTTTAAGGCGATATTCAAATTTGTCACCACGAAGACATTCAAAGAGTTATCACAATTAACTTCATCCGACGGAAAACCAATATGGGTACATGGAAGTCATATAACGTTGAACTCGAAATTCATACATCATATCATCATAGTGAATAAAACCGAACGGCTTATTTAACGCTTTGTCTTTGTCGAAGCGTTTAAACTAAAAATGTTTACTTTATACGGAGTGTCAGTTGTCTTATGTTTCAGCATCGTTTCTTACTTTTGATGAAAAAATATGACTTGTACAAACAAAATTTGCCTTTATGGAAATATTATTCTTGTGACATCCTTTTACGCAGAATTTTAAATCGCCATAATTTTCGTAATGCGAATTCAATGCACGGCGTGATGGCGTCTTGCAAGTGTAATGAATATTTACGCCAGCACCTTACAGCAAAACAATCTTTTTTCTTAAGACTTACAAGAGCAAGTACACATGTGCATTAACAATAAAACGAAATACGAAATGTGACTCACCCAGATATTTTGGCTTGTTTCTTTGGCTTGTTTCTTGTCTCTTGTATTTAATATTTAATTTTCTAGATATTGAGACGACAGCTAAAGTGTGATCTTCTGAAGTGCTCGATCGGTCTTTTACCAACAAACTGAACATTCAACAGCTCAACTAAGTAAGAAACATGTTCACTTTCGAATGTTCGATTGCTGTTGCTAAGCAGTTTGCACTAAGGAGTTTATTTTAAGGTCATGTGACAGTATCAAATTCAAAAACAAATTCTGATATTCATAGGTAAATATGCATAAAAGGCTCCTCCCAAAGTGGGCGGGGCGTAATCTAATTGAATACCATAAAGTTCATATGGAAATAAGTACTTGAAGGAAAATTAATTGCAAATCACATGAATACATTTTAAAATGTTTGTTTTACATTTGTCTGTTTGCATTATTGCTGTTTTCTAAAGAAATAAAAGATGATTGTGTTTGCACTGGCTTAGGTAAATCGAGGAGACGTTTATGAGAAGTATCAAACGGGTAAAAGGTGCAACCATCGACAACTCGACCTTCGGTCTCAAGCTTTCACTGATTTTCTCTCAAGTTCTCCTAAGTCTCCTCAGTTTGTATAAGCCTTTAAATAAAAAACATAAATAAGTCAGAAAACTATGTAGAGACAGGCGGACTGAGGTCAAGTCAAGGTCTCCAAAAAAAGTATTCCTAAAATTGAAATGTTGTGTATTGAAATGTTCAAAAGATGAAAGGTCTATTTCTTTGACCATCCTGTGCAAACATATATTTTATATATTTTTGAAAAACAAGATGAGAAGAGCTATGACTTGTATAATGGTAACAATACCATTATCCAGACATGACACAGTAGTTAGTGGAACTGATGAAGGTGGGACAAACCTGATGAGGAACTGTTTAGTTACACAACGTGACTGGGCAGATTGAGCAAATGTTTCCGGATCTCGTGGTGTGTGGATAATGTCTTTGTTGACTGTGGCAACAGATAAATCATAAGACCACAAGAGATTTTTGTTAAGGACTGAATTTAAATTTTGTGTATAGGTGTAACACAGGTGTAACATAATAACGTTCATTATCTCTGATACTTCTTTAAAAGAAAATTTAAGCAAATCGCTCTTTTATAGCAAACTTTAGCTCTAACCACACAATGCAATTAACATCTCGAGCTTCGCCTTAGAGTTAATGGAAATGTTTAATTCAATTTATCCAATGCTCAATCAAAATGCTTCAATCTTGTTATCATATGTATTTTAGTATTTCTATAATTTCGTAAAAGCACTATTGCCAATACACATTTAATATAAACGACAACTTTTTTGAAAATAGACATGTTTCGACATGTCATGATGCCATCTTCAGTATGAGTGAAATAATAGGTGATACAAGGTTTATATAAAAGTAATATGATACATAAATTACAACAATAAAAGGGAAATAAGATAAATTAATGAGGAGCGTCTGAGCGTATTATAAACAAAATATTGTATTGAATTTAAAACTTGAACATTGAGGTCAGGGTTAGTTTTGTTAATGTGGAGTGCTTCTTTGATTTTAAGTGTGAATGAGGTGTCGGGCTGTCGGCAGTGTCGATGATTTTGAAACAAGAGGGAGTAGAAATGACAGTTTTGTCTGTTGTGGTATGTTCCCTGATTCTGGTGGATAAATGGCGCGAAGTTTCGCCAATGTATCGGGAATTACATCCCGCGCAATTGAAATCATATACCACCATAGATTTAAGTGAACCAGGAATTGGGTCTTTGAATGAGAAAAGGTTTTTGATTTTGAATGATGTGAAAATTAGTCGAATGTCAATATCTGTACAGAAGCGTTTCATAATGTTTGTAAGTCTGCGTTGTGTGTGTTGTGAGTAATGTCCGATGTATGGTAGTTTGAAGTATAGAGTTGTTCTTTTGGAAATGAAAATTCCCGATACATTGGCAAGACTTCGCGCCATTTATCCACCAGAATGAGGGAACATACCACAACAGACAAAAACTCTCATATCTACCGACACTTTCTTAAATCTCACTCATGCAAAACCAACTATTCACCCTCTTGTTTCAAAATCATCGACACTGCCGACAGCCCGACACCTCATTCACCCTTAAAATCAAAGAAGCACTCCACATTAACAAAACTAACCCTGACCTCAATGTTCAAGTTTTTAAATTCAATACAATATTTAGTTTGTAATACGCTCGGACGCTCCTCATTAATTTATCTTATTTCCTGTATCACCTATTATTTCACTCATACTGAAGATAGCATCATGAGATGTCGAAACATGTCTATTTTCAAAAAGTTGTCGTTTATATTAAATGTGCATTTTAGTATTGTATGCAAAAGACTCTTTTGATTTTTCCATGTTGTAAGTTCTATGTTTCTTCTCTAGACAACGTTCTTTGTGATGACCAAAAAGAGAGAATAAAACAGTCCAAAACAGAATGGTACATTATTTTAATAACTTTAACATCTGGAATTATCGTTGGAATTTTGGTTTCTATTTTAATTGTTTTTCAATATCGTCGACATTCGTTTTGTAAAAATTGTCAACAATTTCAATCTCCATCTGAAGTTAGGATAAATTCTGTTGATACAAATTATCAAGAATTGGATTTATCAAAAATGAATAAAGAAGATAATTATTAATCATTGAGACCAAAGGATGACACAGTTGATAAAACTTATCAAGAACTGGACATATCGAAAATGAATATAGAAGATAATAATTATGAATCTTTGCAAAAAAATAATGAATCGGAGTACGAGATAGCCGACGAAAGAAGAAATTATGAGAACAGTAATTTGTTTTCAAGAAAATCATAAATTTATTCTAAACATGTGTTTGTAAACATTTTCCATGTTGTAAAGTCACAATGGCGCGTTTACGAACGTTTACATTTTCTGATAAGATTTGAATTTTGCATCTTTTCCTCCCTTTGGAGCTGCCAATACTTTATGACTTCCAGAAGAAGGCATTTTTGGATGGGAAAATACACTGGTCATTCTGACTCATTCATTAGTTGTTTTTGATAACAGTGTAAGGTAATACTGTTTTTGAATAAGTATTTTTTTCTTATCTTACAATACACCTGCCTTCCTGACTTGTTTCCTGTGTATACCGAATTGTTTAGAACAGGATCACGAAAAGGCCCTGAAAAAGCACGAAATCGTATTTCTGATGAACCGAAATCGTAAATTTCAAAATTTGTTTTGATTAGGGAATGCCTTGAGACCCATCTAGTTAAGAGAGACCATAGTTGGATAGTTAAGAACACCTTTAGTGATCTACTATGGAGCGCCAATCGTAACAAAATTATTTACAGTTTATATGGTTTCATTTTAATACAGGATTAGTGGGGTGCTCAACAACACAGAGAGAGCCTCAAGAATACGGGGACCTTTAGAAAATTTACCGTCTTAATACTTGAAATATAAACAAATGTACTGGAGAATCCCAACTGTTTAATATCGCAATGCTCCAGACATACAAAAACTTCGATCATTCGGGAGCAACAAGAAAACAGTTAGTTAACGTTTTGATATTTCATTTTCAATCTGAATGCTAAAACAACAAGAGCAATAACTTTAACTTTATAATACATTTACATTCAAAGGCCTAAAGATGTTTTTCTTTGATATCGTAGTCAGCAGTTACTAAGTAATGGTGCACCCGCCGGTAAAGAACATACGCTGAATTAAATGTGAATTAAATGTATCATGATGATAAACAAAAAAATAAATACTTGCACACCATGAGACCTGGAAACCTTTTGAAAAAAGAAAGTTACCTGTTGTTGATGAAAATAGGAGCAATTTTTCTCACGTTGAAGATAAAGTGATGAACTGAATTATGTAATTTTTACGTTAAGAAAGATGAATTAAGCAATTCATTCATTCAAACGTATACTTTCATTTATATGAACATGTCACTCAAACTTTGTTCGAATAGTGTCCTTGCTGGTATGGAAATGATTTACTCTACTTCCAATTTACTTGAAACTAATTTAAAAGTGTTTGAATTAGACTACTCCTACTAAACATCAATGTTATATACATGTTAATAACATTCTAAGCTAGATTTGTGAAAAAAGGGAGGTTGTTCAAGATAACCGTTTAGTTGGTGTGGTATGTTAATCTTATACAAATAAAAGTTCATTTCAAATTTGCCACATAAGATTTGGTCATTGCCAAACAAAAAGGTTGCTAAAGTCGAATTCATCCACAAGCTTTTTTCCAGCAATTTTTAAGTTATATGTGCGTTTCCTTCTTAGACTAAATCAGCTTTAAAACAAAGTCAACAATACATTTTTGATTATTTTTTCAATCAGCTTTAGAAGTTTTTTCTTTTTTTCGAGGCTAATTGAGAACAAAGACATTTACTTGTTTAACGGATTTTATTTTTACTTACTTTCTATTCCCCAAGAAAAAACATGTCATATGTTTAATATAACAGGGATAGATAAATGAAAGACAAGAAGTCTATCCTGACAATAGGATCCACTGAAAATGTTCAACTTTCCAACTGTAAATTTTTTCAATTCCTCATTTTACAAAAATTAAGCGTAAGCAAAATTTTAGAGTACTTAAAGCCATTGAACTGTAATAACAACTGGAGCGAGAAGTCAGGGGGGGGATTGAAACCAGATGACGGCTGCCATACAGGTCGCTCCAGTCCTTTTGTAAATAGAAATTTTATATTTATAAAATTTTAAAAGTAAACTTTGCGTTACTTTTTCTAAATACTATTTAATTTGAAGAATACTGGTCAAGACTAAGCCCTAGTCTTTCGCGCGGTTTCTACGTCAAAACGCCACAAAAGATAATTTTTTAAATGCAAAAGCACAAACCCAGTGATCAGGGGCGTAACTAGACTTGAAGTAATGGGGTGGAGAAAATTTGCCCTGCAAAAATGGGCGTTGCCCACAAAAACAAGGACATGCATTACAATTTTTTGAGTAAACACTATTTCTGAGGACAACGTTTCAGTGACAGTTTTTTTGCAGTGGTTAACATTTTCAGCCAATATGTTTAATTCAGCTACGCAAGTTTCTCATGACAGGTGAGATTTCTCTCTCTCTTCTTGTTCGTTAACAGATTCTTCTTCATCAACCTAAAAAAGACCAAAATATAATTACTTTAGAAATAACATTTTAAAAAATTAATTTAATTATTTCAATGTCATACTCAGATATTACAAACCACATCCATAATTTCCTCTTCCTCTGAATCAACTTCATTTATCTTGTTATCTATTTCAAATATTTCCTGGCATACATTGTGTATTTTTAATGCCACTTCAAGGTTTTCCAGCAAGGTAGCATTTTTAAACAGTATTTAACGTTAGAAAACGATACATTGCCTGAAGATTGCTTTGGCATGAAACCCAGACTCCCCGAGTAGCAACATTTTAAGAAATGTAATTTATTAAATTATATATACATATATATATATATATAAAATAGACAATAGCTGTAATTTTTTCGGAGTTTCACGCAGTAGGGCGATCTTCAGGCAACTGACAGATTATTTATTATTCACTGCACATGCAATTCGTTACTAGGTGTTAAATTAACGACGGCATGCACTAAAAAGTTCAGAGCGTTTATTTAAAATTTTCTTTTTATGTCCTTTTAGGATTAGTAGTCTTTTTTCAAAACAAACATGGCAGGTTTTTCGGTTTTGTTCAGAGGTGGAAGTTGTTTGATGAAGTCCCTCTTGATGCTGCAGTTTTGTTTGTTTTCTTTCTGTATCCACGTGTTTTCATAAATCATATATAAACAAGTGTACAAAGTGTATAACAATGTGCCCTCCCGGCTATCACCATAGTAAAATGGTGACTCCTTCACTTGGACACAGGACGTACAGTTACACATTGTATGGATTGTATTCTTGTAAATGTGAGATCATTGTGTTAGATACATTAAATAGCACAAATCCAACTTAGTTACAAAATCTAGCAACATGTGTATTAAACATTTTCCTTTGCAAGCACAACAGTGATGAACTTCAGGGAAAAGATTCACGGCATTTTCATAACAAAGGTCATGCTGTCAAGCTCCAACATACTTAATTATCGTGTTTGAAAAAATTATAAAATAAAAAATTAAAATGAAATAAAAAATAAGACATAATCATTGTAAATATTAAGATCCACTTCATTCAAACCTTGTGAATGGTGGAATCATCATAAAGAATTTATTTTTGTTTCTTTTCAGCAGCCAGCACAACACCATTTGTAGCTGAAATAAACATTTTCATAAAATGTCAAAATGTCTCATACACATTACATAAATGCATTAAATCAACAAGAAATTTGATCAGAGTGAGCAACATGTATCTTGTCCTGCCTATTCAAACAAACAAGTTGCAATACCTACCAAAAAATGACTCAATTATTATTTGGCAATTGACGCAACATAATGATACATAATAAAACAATATTTAGCACCAGACTTTCACAGTGGATTTTCAGTGCATATCCCAAGATTGAATGAATGGTTTAAGACAGAGGTCCACTTTAGCCTTGTGGACCAAGATTTATGCAATAATTTATTCCATACAAAATTGTTCAACATGGATTTCATGTTTATAGATAATTAGTTTTGTATATCTGATCAATAAGAAAATTTAGAAATTCACTATGTACAACATTCAGATGGCAAAATGTCAATTGTTTCAATTACACAAGTCTGAAGTCTCACATAATACCACGAAATTTACAGGATTTTTCAGTTATATGTAATCATTTTAAAGAATTTTTCCACCTATATTATGTTGTCAGATTAATTATTTATCCATGTGGATTGAGTCACTATGAAATATCAAGATTCAACAAGAGCTAGGTATTGTACACGTATATGGTTACCTTTAATGCCAACAGAAGATCCACCAGAAGCTACAGCAGCTAATGCATACTCAATCTGAACCAATTTGCCTGATGGACTAAATTATAAGGACCATTAAAATTATTTGTCATGAAGTAGGATGTTATTTTTAGTACATATATCAACATCAGAACCAACCAACCAAGAACTTGAATTGAGAAGACAAATCGAGATAAAGCTCCTTTTGCAAATAAGACAACTACTGGGCACAAAAAATGTAGCAAAATTTAACTGAATGTGGTTAAGCTAAAGCTATATCTTTCAGCCATTTTTCTAAAGGCGATATTCTCTATGAAAACGATAATTTAGAAACAGTCTACAAAACAAGATGGCGATAAGCGTTTCACAAAAATGGTACTAACACCACGTATAATAAACATCTCTGTCAAACCTCTGGTCACAATCTGAAATGGTGAGCCGTAAAAATTCATGGTTTCGTGGAGCACAATGGCGCCTCCACTTTGGCACAGAATCTAGACCATAAACATGACCATGTCGTTTAATTTTCGACTAGGCGAGATCACAACCCTTAAAGGTCGCTGCAACATGGATACAGTAACCATGACTGAATTGAAGCAAGTTTTGAAGGAGCAAGAAGATCACATCGACCAGTTAGAGGTGTGTGATGGCGATCTAAGGCTTGGCCGCGATCATGTCGAAAAGCGTTTGAAGGGCGTTCGCGAAGAACTCGAGGAAGCACAGAAAAATCTCCAGGGACTTGAAAATGAGATAGCTCATAATGCTGATGTCTTGATCCTTCAAGACATCAGCATTATGAGCTATCTCATTATGAGCTATCTCATTATGAGCTATGGTGGAAGTGCACAAGAAACTTATTCAAAACTTTAGTAGAAAGCTTGAGGCGAAAGAAGAGGTTAGTAAATTGTACGTTTAGATTTTCTCTATTCTGTGCGATGTTTTATTCATGCTGCATACGCACAAGATTGTCAAAACTCTTTGTTCTTGTTATTTTTATTGATAATTGTGTTTATTGCAGTTTGAAAGTGAGGACACATTTATGCTTATCCTTAAAGTGGTTATATCACGAATTTTAGCCCCCCTTTTTTATTAGCTAAATTGAAAGACCTTGTTTCAGTGATTTAAATCTGCAATTATTATTGAAATTGGATTGGTGAAAGTGATTTTACGGACGTTCAAAGTCACGATTTTCAGCATTTTTTTTGCGAACTTTTTGATCGGTATGCTAATGACTTGTGACGTAAGAAAGTTGAACACATATATCAACATGGCGTATTCTACTAGTAATCTTAATAAGAAACGCGGAGGAAAACGCTGTGTTGCTGGCGGACCTAATCAAATTAGTTGCGCCAATGATTCAAAAACCGAAGGAATGTCGATGCATCTGTTTCCTAAAAAAGAAACAGAGCCGCAAATACATAGAAAATGGGTAAATTTTGTGCGTAAACATAGACCGGGTTTTGAAGCTTTCTCTACCTCGTGTCTGTGTTCTGCGCATTTTGAAGATTCTTGTTTTGACCTTAATTTGAGTGTGTAAGTCAAGCTCAAAAGAAGGTTGAAGAAAGATGCTATCCCAACCATTGACGTGGCTGGGATTCCTGAACCATTACAGGACGAAATAACCGATCGAAAACGAAGACAAGTAAGTTTACGCTTGTTCATGTTAATTTTTCTTTTGTCATATGTAAATTCGATATAAGTTTTGTAGATTATTCGACATACTCTCCATAAGCCATCGCTGAAGGAAACATGTTCTCTCAATGAGGAAGTACCATGTACTAGTGATGAAGCTGAGCATGTTTAAGTATGCACTGGGGAAGCAAACGATTCGCCATTTGAACGGCTTGCTATTTTCCATTTTTACATTTATGCTATGATTTAATTCCATATATTTTTTCTTTTGTCTTTTTTCCCAGACTGACATTGAAGAAAAGATTTTCTTTCATTTAATTCTTTCAGCTTAACCTCTCAGTAGTTGCACCAATTTGTTTTTATTGTTTACTCTTGTTTCAAACCATTAAACTGCATGTCAACTTATATAGTGCATCCATGTATCTCCTATTTGGTTTTCATCTAGGCATGTTTCCTGACCATTCCAAACTCAGCAAAGAAGGTCAACAGTCTCTACAGTGCACTAGTTAAAAGACTATTCCATCATCGCCCCTCTGATGGTATGTAACCTGTTGTGTTACCACTTGGATATGCTTTACGAATAAAGTGATAAACACAAGCAGGTAAAGGCCGAGTATTCTCCCATCCCATAGACCCACAAAACCATTGCATCAACCATCTGTATGCCACAGCTCTCAAGTACCTGAAGTAAATAAAAAGGTTGGACTAATTATTGTTGATGAAACAATGTTGATTATAACATTGTTTCTCATACAATTTACAATCTTACATATTTAATGATTGTGATGCTAGGCGGCGATAAGCAAGTCCATTCCTATCTCTCAATAGTGGCCCGACGTTTTCAAGGACAGCCTCATGAACTAAAGGCCCAAATTTGGCATGCTGTGTTATGCATGATATTTTCTCAATGCTGCCATCGAATGTCATTTTCTGCAAAGCTGGCCCTATTTCCTTACAGCATCTGTACTCTAATGCGCCTTCTAACAAATCGGTATGACAGCATTGACAATTACACCTGAAACGTGGAAGCATTCTGGTTTATAAAGTAACTTTATGTATATTACAAACAGGAGAAAACAACAACTTACCAAGTGGAATTACGCCATCACTTCGTTGTTCTAATATCGCAGGGAGAATTCCATCGGGATCATCTGGAGTATGCACTTCATCACCATCTCCTGCTAGCGGTTCATCGTCATATGCGAAGTCGTTTAAATGCTCGACATAACCCACGGATTCCAAGCTCGAATCAGATACGCATTCAGACATCGAATTCGAATTATCTGAGCACTGATTTGAGGCCATTCTTTCCGGACAACTTGTTTTTTATTATTTTATTGAAAATACTGTCATTATATGTTTTTAAGACAAGAAAAACGACAACAAAATCACCTTCTATAATATAATATTGTATTGACGGAAACAGACGTGTTCAACTATCTACGTCACAACTATCAATATGGCGTCGTAAAAAATTCGCAAATGGTACCCGACTTTGGAGGCAAAATTAAGCAACATATATTTATCTGTTTAAGTCCAGCGACATGTCATAGTTCTTCAAATAATCCAAATTTTCAATTAAGCTCATAAAAAAGGGGGGCTAAAATTCGTGATATAACCACTTTATGTCATTAATGAGGGCCAGGCTTAAACACTTTTAGTTGCATTGTCGCAGATCTGCAGCGATCGCCAGAGGCGTAACTAGAACGTTAATTGTGTGTGGGGGTGTGCACATTCATATATTCCGTTGTCCCTACTGATAAATTAAATTGAATTTCAAAAGAAATCTGTCGGGCGAAACTGACTATAAGAATATTTACCCCTCATTTAACGTTCTAGTTAAGGCTCTGTCAATCGCGAAAGCAGGTAAGAAAATTCGCCACGATGTAAAACGATATCACGAATTTGATAAATGTTATCCATATAAAGCGTTTCTGTATTTGTATCGTGTAAGTGAGTTGATTCTGAAGATGACTACCGCTAAGGTTTTCAAAACGTCAGTCAACATCAACACCAATGGTCCTTCTCAGGACTCTGGACGATCTACATCCGCAAAGAAGTAAATGAGTGAGACGTGGTTGTCTATTTATTCACGAGGTTTTAATGGTTTGCTTTTGTGTTCTCGCCCGTAAAAATCGTTAAAAACACTCCTGATCGTGTTAATAAATTTTTTATTTCAATGTTAGCTCATCGAGAGTTCTTTGTCAAAGAATTCAAGATTTGCTTCATTGGGAAGCTGTTGTTGTTCAAAACATGACCATGTCGTTTAATTTTCGACTAGGCGAGATCACAACCCTTAAAGGTCGCTGCGACATGGATACAGTAACCATGAGTGAATTGAAGCAAGTTTTGAAGGAGCAAGAAGATCACATCGACCAGTTAGAGGCGTGTAATGGCGATCTAAGGCTTGGCCGCGATCATGTCGAAAAGCGTTTGAAGGGCGTTCGCGAAGAACTCGAGGAAGCACAGAAAATCTCCAGGGACTTGAAAATGAGATAGCTCATAATGCTGATGTCTTGAAGGAGAAAAGGAAATGTTGGAAGTGCACAAGAAACTTATTCAAAACTTTAGTAGAATGCTTGAGGCGAAAGAAGAGGTTAGTAAATTGTACGTTTAGATTTTCTCTATTCTGTGCGATGTTTTATTCATGCTGCATACGCACAAGATTGTCAAAACTCTTTGTTCTTGTTATTTTTATTGATAATTGTGCTTATTGCAGTTTGAAAGTGAGGACACATTTATTCTTATTCTTATGTCACCAATGACGCCAGGCTTAAACTCTTTTAGTTGCATTGTCGCAGATCTGCAGCGATCGCCAGAGGCGTAACTAGAACGTTAATTGTGTGTGTGGATGTGCACATTCATATATTCCGTTGTCCCTACTGATAAATTAAATTGAATTTCAAAAGAAATCTGTCGGATGAAACTGACTATAAGAATATTTACCCCTCATTTAACGTTCTAGTTTAGCCTCTGTCAATCGCGAAAGCAGGTAAGAAAATTCGCCACGATGTAAAACGATATCACGAATTTGATAAATGTTATCCATATAAAGCGTTTCTGTATTTGTATCGTGTAAGTGAGTTGATTCTGAAGATGACTACCGCTAAGGTTTTCAAAACGTCAGTCAACATCAACACCAATGGTCCTTCTCAGGACTCTGGACGATCTACATCCGCAAAGAAGTAAATGAGTGAGACGTGGTTGTCTATTTATTCACGAGGTTTTAATGGTTTGCTTTTGTGTTCTCGCCCGTAAAAATCGTTAAAAACACTCCTGATCGTGTTAATAAATTTTTTATTTCAATGTTAGCTCATCGAGAGTTCTTTGTCAAAGAATTCAAGATTTGCTTTATTGGGAAGCTGTTGTTGTTCAAAACATGACCATGTCGTTTAATTTTCGACTAGGCGAGATCACAACCCTTAAAGGTCGCTGCGACATGGATACAGTAACCATGACTGAATTGAAGCAAGTTTTGAAGGAGCAAGAAGATCACATCGACCAGTTAGAGGCATGTAATGGCGATCTAAGGATTGGCCGCGATCATGTCGAAAAGCGTTTGAAGGGCAACACAGTCTCAAGCTTAAATAGATGAATAGCATCAATTGACAAAACGGCTTAAATAGATAATAATCATCAATCCAAGGGAAACTCCGTAACTATCCAAATTCAATACGTTTTGCGCACCCGCGAAAAGTTAACATGGGGGAAAAGGCAGGCCGCAGCTGCAGCACAGGTATGTAAATAGAAATAGCCATTTTATAATCAGGTCTCACAAGCTTTTCATATTTTTCATTTCGATTATGTATCAATGGTTTCCTTTCTAACAAGGAGTTTAATTTTACTTGTAAAAATGGTTTTAATCAAGACGAATTCTCGAATCAAAATCGAGAGCTGCAGTTTGACTGTTTGAGTTGCGTGACATCGTGAAATGTTGAATGCTTGACTTACTGGATTTGACCGTTTCAATTTATTTGCTAGTTTGCTCATGATTTGTAGTATTTATAATCATATCGTTAAAAAAATTAAAATTCTTGTATTTTTCTTCATTGATTTTGATTGATGTTTGATCGTGAATCCTGATCAGAGTCAAGCCAATATTTTAAAGATAGTGCTTTTAGTTTGTATTAGATTTATTTAATCATATAGAAAACGTTTATTTAACAAGTATTTTTTGCTAAAAGTTATTAAAAAATGATTTGATTATAAAGAAATGCTCGGGGCAAAACTAGAACGTTAATTAGGGGTGTTTATATTCATGTATTCAGCTCTGCCCTGCTGATTTCTTTTGTTTGCGATTTTAATTTCAATAGAAGTTAGCAGGGCAGAGCTGAATATATGAATATTCACCCCAATTAATTTTCTAGTTACGGCACTGGAAATGCTATCCCCAGTGTTAATGGACGATTTATTATTTATTTATTATTACCCATGTGCCTCATACGTTGATAGACTTTTTCAATAATGACCTAATTTCTTTGATAAACTCCATTTGCAAATTGGAAAAATATTCCTGTATGCTGTCCAGCATTGCGTAGTAAACTATGAATTGTACATAAGGATCTATTCTGTAGTTGCATGTATAAATGTTCTTTCAAATAGAACAACATATTATTACCATCATCAGACTTTATGTATATTATATGTATAACTGTAATGTTAGTGATCACTGTGATAGTTCTAGTATGTGGTTAATCTTAAGATCAGCAGTGAAGCCAATCTGGATTATTGTCATCCTATGCCTAATTTAAAGCATGGTTATTTGTACATCATTATATTTTATGTTGTATTTTTAGAGAAAAGATTTCAAGGAAAGACAACTAAGGTAAATTTATATATGTATTGAATGGTTGCCTAATTTTTGATACTAACTGTACCCTTCAAAAGCATGCTACATATATACCTGTTGACATATGTTTTGAAGAACATACATATTATATATCAACAGAAGTTTTTTTCTGATAGTAGCATAAAAGATCAGTTGAATGACAACTCTTGTGCATCAAGACAAACCACTTATTTTATATCAATTAATTAAGCCCATTTTTATTCATTGCCAATTTTATTTGTCAATTGTATAACAAACATTTTAAATAAACGACAACATTTTTCAATTTTATACTATCACTTATTTCTAATAACCTAATTTAGCTCCATAGCTACCAAATGACAAGTAAAGTCATGTGGCGTTTGTCAAAAAATGAGTAAAGCATATTGCTGGTTAAAGGATTAACTACAGAGTGAAGACATTGTCAAATTTTCTGGTTAACCCATTACCCCTATATACTAGATCCTCACAATTGACAACTAAAACTGACCTGTGGCTGTAATAAAAATAGGATGAAAAGGTACCCTTCAATTCTTGGCCTCATCATTCATACATAGTCATGTGGTACTTTTGAAAAATGTAGTTGCTATGAATGGTGTATTGCTGTGAATTTTGTGAATTTGGTATTTTGTAAATTTTGAATTTTGTAAATTTTGCAATTTGTGCCTGTTGTATTTTGTGAATGGTGAATTTTGTATTGCTTCAAGTTTTGTCTTAATGGGTTGAAGCATATGTTTTGTTATACTTTTTTATAGCAATGTAATGGTTGTGGAACAGAAAATGGAAATGCTTCAAAGAAGTGTAAAAGTTGTTTGAAGGAATCCATTTCGAAACGTGTAAATTCCATGGAAAGAATTAGGAAAATGGGTGGGACAAATCCTTCTCGCCAAAGGCAACTAATGATGTACAGAGTTAGTATCAATTCTCAAGATACTTCTATACAATACAGACCAACCCAGTATTTGCAAATGGGAATAATTTTGGAAGTGTGATCAATGTATGCTAAATATTTACATGCTACTAATTTGCTTCTGTGTATGTATCAAACTTTAAATATTCATCTGTCTGTGTACAGTATATGTATCTATAGGTATTTACTGTATGTACAATAATGTTTGTATGTGTGTATGCATTGCTGTATAAGTGAATGTGTAGCATTTTTTTCAACTGGAAAGATGTGTGCAGGCCGAGCAGATGTGGTGGTGTTATTTTCCTCTTGTTGTTTTGCATTGTCTTAGGAAACTTTAGCAGCAGGAAAAAGACCATGACTTTCAGCAGAGCTTTCACAAACTATTTTTACTCAATTATTTCCAGTCGTTCATGTTGGGAACGAATTTGCTTTAACATAATTGAAAATCACATTTTCTAAGGATTTTGCCACCGATGATTGCTTACGGCTTTTGTTACTATAAGCAAACTAAGAAAGTTTATTTGTAATCTTTATTTATTTTAGGCTTCTGTCTTAAATGAACATCATGACCAACACATTATTGTTTTGTCGTTCTCAAGACATGCAAAAGGCTATACCACTCACTTACACGGCACTCCTGGACCAGCTGCCAAGTTTCTTACTGAGACAGAGTATGGAAAAATAACAGAAAAGCTTTTTGACAATTTCATGCGACGTAAGTTTATAAAATTGGATGAACTCCATCTAAGGGCGAAAGCGAACGTGTGTTCATTTATGCAACATTCATTTATGAAAATCCATGATCTGGTGGTTCTATTAATCTGTTATTGAATATATTCTAATCCAACCCTTAGACTTACCTGACAATATATTACGCATACACAGGCTTAGCATAGTGATCAGGCATTAAAATTATAACATTTGATAAGTTCTATTTCAGGACCTTTTGCATATTAAGACACACGTGATTACCAGTACAGTACATACACAAACACTTTCACGTTTCCGTTGATTAGAACAAATATAAATTAAGGTCGAATGGTGAACATTGTATTATTAATTAAATGAAATTCCTAGTTTGTTTTAACTGTATTGGTATTACTCATGTGATAGTTTTGTATGCAAATGAAAAAACATGTACTAGTTAGAATGTGTAATTATGGATGAAATTTTGCAAATATTGTTTCTTATCAGGATTAAACTGATGTCCTTGGAATGTTAAACACATGCGATAACCATTCCACCACAGAAACTATATGAACAAACGTTTTTTGCTTTCATTGAATAAAAATAAAAATCAAATTAGGAGTTAATGATAATAAGGAACGTCTTCTATCTATATATTGCGAGTGGGGAAGCCAGCAGGAAAATTTGTTCATGCTATGCAAATTTTACATTATCATTGTTCATTTCTTTAGAAAATGATTGTTTCTGCCATCATGAACGCGAAAATATTTGCATAGCAAGACTTTTTCCACCTCTGAGATGGGTTGGATCAAATCGACCGAACTCAGTTTAGTTTATATCGTGTGAATAGGGCTTAAATCGTAATACTTGCAATGTCAATCATTTTCGTAAAATTTTCATGTGCATAAGACGACCTGACTTTGTGAGCTGGCTTTGCCATTGTTCGTATTCCATTTCCATGAAAAGATCCACTTAAGCAACTAATTCTCTCGTAGTAGTGTTGCTGATACAATAAGAAATGATCCTACTGTATTCTACAGCTACTAGTTTGAAAGACTAGCTTTAACTTAATAATCAAAATCCATGTTTGTCGTTCGATGTATTCTGAATTAACTACACTTTCAGTTTCAACCAACAATATAAAAGCATGCAAATACAAAACAATAACAAATACGTAAGAGCCAGCATTTTTGCTGATGCTTACATTTCATAGCGATATAAATTATATGATTTATATCCTTTTTGTCTTTGAAGCAGAACATCTATTTCAACTTTTATTGTTCATGGTATTGGTTACAGACTTACAGTTTTCAGTATGCTCATTACATTATATTTCTAGGGGAGATGGAAGTGGAAGAAATGAGCCATAAAAGTGTTGGTCAAACACACGCTAACACATTGGACGAATTTTCCCAGTCAAGTTCTTCAACCTTAGCTGACAACAAGTGTGAAATCCCACTACAACACCAACAAAAACCCGAACAATCCCAACGAAAACCCACACAAGGCAAACGTACACCATAACGACAACAGCCAAAACTCCAAAAACGCTAACAAAAACCCTGTTTACAACGGCAAAGAAAACCCAAACAGCGTCGTCAAAAACGCTTGCAACATCAATGAAAAGCCGAACAACGTCAACGAAATTTTTAACCAAACGAAGAAAAACGCTAATGATACAAACGAAAACACAATTATTACAATCGGATGCACTGATGTTAATGACATTGCTGAGACTATCGAGAGTAATGGTAACAATACTAACGAAGAGCAACAGTATTTTCAAAAGTTTTGTAGCTACGACAAACCTGATGAAGATGAAGAACCAGTTTCGAAGAGCCCGAAAATTTTAACGTCCACTCAAAGTATTTATCAGAAGAAAGTTAAAATAGGTATTAAATGTTTCTTTATCTTCAGTCTGTAGTATTTATTTGTACCAATGTACTTACTGTTGCAATAACAAATTTTAGTTCGTCATACAAAAGTACAAAAAATGTATAGCGTCTTATAACTAACATCGACATTTTAGGTGTTCAGAAAAAACAAATTATTTTGTTACAGAAATAGGAATCACACCACTATTAAACGAATCAACAGCAAACTGCAAACATTTAAAGTTTGTGTATTTGCTAAATGCTTTTATTTTATTAATAGCTATGTATGTTACCCTAAAAGAAAAGATATCCTAAGTCTTATTGTATATTGTCTCTCTACAATTTTATAACAAGACATACATTATCTAAAAATGTATTTTATATTTTTATCAGGCGAAGGCTCAAAGTTAGTGGTTTTTAATGAAGACAAGATACCTCAAGCTTTATGCACATTATTTTCTATGAAAACTTTGCACAACCGCCCTGTACCAAAAAGTCATGTTGGCATAGTCATTGATTACGTCATGCCAAACTGTAAACTCAAGCCAGTTTGTCCAACAGAGTTTGATGGAGATTTTGTCGAAAAGGGCGTTTTACATATGGCCGCTTGAATTGTTGGCATTGAATAATAACTTCCCGAAATAAATTGATAGTTAGTGTATGTAAAATAATGTAAATATATCTTCCATATAGTTTTTTTTATATTGATTGCTATGCAATTGAATTTTGGTAATGGATTAATTTTATTTTCCCTTGATTGTTTTAGTCATATACGTTTTGATTTTAGTCTTATAACACGTTTTGATTATAATTCATCATCATCCCGCGGTTTAACAAGGTAAAAAATATGAGTCATATGAGTTTTTGATATGAGTTAACAGATTTTTAAAAAATTATTTTGGGAAATATTTCTGGTGACGAACAACCAAATATTTAATTTTACTGCAGTTGATTGTAAATTGTTTAACAAATGTCGTTACGGGAATGGTCAAATGTCACAACATACGTAATTAGTTATGGCTTTATATTCACTCTCAAATCGTTTAACTTCTCTAACGTAACAAATGTGACAATTTATTCTTGGTAAGAAAGACCGTGTACTGATTAACGTTGTTAAAGGCATTAAAGTTATTATTCTCTTTGTTGTTGCATACACTATCACCAGTACATAGCAAAAAAATATTTTTCTTATCGATAGGCGCTCTATTAGTAAACCATGATTTCCTTTGAGTTACAATGGTTTACTTTCTTTAACAGTTGTCTATACAGTGGATAGAAAAAAAAAAGTGGCCACGAGCCGCTGGGGCAAGTGTATAATGTGTATCGTACGTGTATATAGTGTGTATAGTAAGTGCGTATAGTGTGTATAGTGTATAATGTGTGTATAGTGCACATAGTGTGTATAGTGTGTATAGTGTGTATAGTGCGTATAGTGTGTATAGTGTGTAAAGTGTGTATAGTGTGTATAGTGTGTATAGTGTGTATAGTGTGTATGGTGTGTATAGTGTGTATAGTGTGTATAGTGTGTATGGTGTGTATAGTGTGTATAGTGTGTATAGTGTGTATAGTGTGTATATGTATAGTGTGTAATGTGTGTATAGTGCGTATAGTGTGTATAGTGTGTATAGTGTGTATAGTGGGTATAGTGTGTAATGTGTGTATAGTGCGTATAGTGTGTATAGTGTGTATAGTGCGTATAGTGTGTATACTGTGTAAGGTGTATTGTATTTGAAAATCTACTACCCAACTTTTCAGCTTTAATGTTCTATATCTTTACCCACTCCCCACAAACCCAACCGTAAAGCACTAACAGCTCAATACGAGGAAAAATTGCACTTTAATTTTACACCATGGTTTTTACAACTGATTTATGTGTAACAAGAATAGAACGTTTCAAAAAAAAAATCAACAATAAAAGATAACACTAGACCAAAACAAACGTGTAACCTCGCGCAATGTTGAGATAAAAGAAAAAATCATAATAAGAATATTTAAGGACTTTTCAAAATGCACGTTTCACTTTTTAATATTACAAATGATAATTTATGGCGTTTTCCCCGTTTTTTGCAACAGATCATATCAGTAATGGATAACAATGCTTCCAGTCCCCCGGGAATGATAATTATGACCCGTATTAGCTGCTCTAAGGCAGGGGTTTCATGGTTGCACCCACTCATTGTAGCTGGATTCTGTTATCATACAGTACAAATACAAGTTTAATAACAAGTCATTTATCACTAGCAACATTAGCAATCATCGATCTTATCATCAGAACCATTGTCATCAAAAAGATCATCGTCTTCATTGTCGCTGTAGCTTTCAATATCACTCTCATTGCTAACTAAAGTATCCAAAACATCGCGACTGTTAATACAGGAGAAGTGCTTGGATCCAAGGTCTAGCTGTTGCTTTGCAAAGTTTATACCCTTGTATCGCAAAGCTATCTCACCCAAAATAACACGTCTTGATTTATGAGACGAAGAAGCATACAAGGATTTCTAAAAAATAATAGATTACATGGCATTTGGTTTCTTCCACAAAAACATTTTATGTACGCTAAGGTTCCTTCATTATGTTTGTTGCGCACGACTTATTGTTTATTTTCTCCATACATATTCGTGGTGCTTAACGGAAGATTATATGTATATACCTCAGATTCAACTCTTTCATTTGACAAACATTCCCTAGTGTCTTTCACTGAAACTCTTTCTACAAAACGTGTTGAAAATTTGAGAAGCTCAAAAATCTAAAAGCTTATGTCTTACAATGATTTGTTTAAAATGAGCACATGGACTCTTTTACAGTACATACGTGACTTTCATTATACATACCTGAGTTTAGACTTTGTTCCATGTCTTTTACTTCCGCTTTCAACTTTGGAATAACGATATCTTTGTAATATCGCAAATAATTACTCATCTCTTGCTTAATAAGAATTAACTCCTCCTCCAGTCTTTCTAAATGTTCGAACTTGTCAACAATTTTACATTTCAGTCGAACAGAAATTTCTATATAAAGATGTTTTATAACATTACGTTTAAGTAACTTTAAGTTCTTACTTAAGGCATGTTGGAATTTACAGAATATGTTTTAGGTACACACCATTGAGAGTCCAGGGAAACATGCCATCAACCAGAGAACACTCGTCGAGTCTTACTGTTTCTTCTTGACCATGCACAACAAACTGTAATACGTTGAATATGCGCATTTTTGTCAATGTTTTTCTGATCACTAGACATCTTCTGTCTTATCTTTGTTCTTGCTTTTGCTGAGTCTACAGGCAAAAGAAACAGGTAAGTATACTAAATAAGAAACAATCTATTTTGCCTTAAATTTGCAATGACTTCAGTATGGATTCTTGCTAACAAATGCACTCCTCTTATGTAGTAATATACGTGTATATGTAAAAACATACTTCCCAATTTTACAACGCTTGCTTTCCTTTGTACTATGGCAAAAGACAACATTTCTAGTTCATTCTTAAGACACTTCAAGGCACTTTCCAAAAATAACTTTTTTCCTCTATCAAGCAGTACATCGGCGGTTATATCACGACAAAGCTTGGCAGTCAGTGATTTAACTCTTTTACGTTTATCCTCAACGGTGGAGTATCTTTGAATTATCTTTTTTGACAGGGCAGAAAGATAGTCTTCAGTCTCAACACACGAGATGTTTACATTTGATGTCAATAAAGAGGTATCGGTTAAAGAGGAGGTCAAAACGTACAATTCCTCTTCTTCGGCTAAATACGTGAAGAAGGAGCTTTCCATTTCTACAGAAACAGAAAAAAATATGATATACTGCACAGTCGTATTAAATTATGCCAGCAAGTAAAACCCGGTTACCTTTTGCAATACGTTGAACTTCACTCTTCCACTGCAAGAAATCAACGTGGTTCGGAGAGATTTACGCCAGAAACCATTTCATCAAGTTCTTTCCTTGTATTTTCTTGAGCTTCTATATACTAAAAAGAAAATAACTTATCAGGATGACGGCTGTTAGTAGCGTTATTTGGCCGCATGTACAAAATAGTTTTTGAGAAGCAACCTTTGCATATCTCTTGCAGAGGGAGCTGGACAGATCACATATTTTCCGTTTATTCCACGCAAGAGCATGTTCAGTTATGAGTTCTTCTCTTGCTAAAATTGTCAAAAAAGCACATACATAGCATGACACATCAATTGAAAACCATAAAAAATGTTCCAGTAACTTGAGACCAACGTGGACGATAGCTACGTTATATGGATAATCGTTCTATCCAACAAATAAAGTCTACAATATAATTAAACATATTTTATAAACTTATTTTAAGTAACACTTACACTCGGGTAACATGTACTTTGTAGTGTTGGCCAGTCTCGAAAGGTAACTATTAATCTGCTCAACTTCCTCTCCTGTGGAATATGCAGAACCTTTTGCCACCGTCCTCCCACAATACCTTAAAATAAGACGAGTTTGGAAATTCTTGTTTATAAGAAATTCATTAATGTCTGAGTAGACAATACTGAGAGTGAACATCGATATACGTATAAGTACACAGCCAGCATTCATTATAAAAACACATGATACCAGTGTACCTGGCATGTCCAATTATGTGCTTTGGCATGCATCACAGATAAAGCAGGTTTTATTTCGTGAGCATTTGACTCATCCGACTTTGATGCCTTCACTGCCCACTTCCAATATTTACATATGATATCTTGCCAAATGTATTTAACATTGTTTGGAATCATTTTGTGAACATGGATGTAATTAGAGTAGCCATAAATCTCTCCGCGAAACATGTTTACAGCCCACTGAGCAATTGCATGCCGGCAACCTGCAATTTCCAGTCCTGTTTCGTCTAGACGACTCTTTCGTTTTCCTTTATTTCCAGCAGCTCGCCAATTACTTTCACCACATTTCCCGTCATCAGAAAAGTTCTGTAACACAAAAGATTCAAATTCGAACCATGATCGTGGAAAACGAACATTTATATATTGATTCAGAAAAGGCTAAACTGTCGATTTTATTATTTATTACAATGAATACAATAGCCAAAATGCAAAACCAATAATAATGAATAAATATCATTATCAAAAGGGTAAGTATTGAGTTATAATGAAAAGAACTTTACTCATGTAATGGTGTATTGTACTGAACTGTACAAAACATTTCAACATCAGTGCAAAGCATGACCTCCAAATTACCCGAACTTGGGGAGTGGAATAAACCTTTCTAATATGCTCTGAAACATGTTCATTCGAAGAAATAAAAGATCTCCATAGTAAGACTGACTTTGTTCTCTATAAAAGAGAGAAAACAAGAGTTTACATTATGAAAGGCTCCTTAGAATGTGTAAAAATTACAGAGTTTGACATAATACCTTCCTGAATGTTTATATCGGTATAACTTCATGTTGCCATCTACATGACAGGAGTGTTGGTTGGATGAGCAACTAGGACAAAACATCCACTCTTTTCCCTGGGCTTTTCCACCTCATAATTAAAATATTTCCATTCTCGAAAGGCTTTTGTGAACGTTCGTGGATTTATTGATCCAAACTAAAAATTGAAAGAAAGTAGAAATCACATAGAAAAAATTGTAGACTTTTGCCACACATACATATACATTTTTTCATGAATTTGGATGTTTTCCATAACACTAGTGACAATGGTAATTGCTTTACACAAAAAAAACTATGTACAATGCTGAGAGTTTACACTTAGTAATGTGGCATACACACAAAGTATTTATGTAGCACCTTCCTTTTGAAACACTTATGTCTTCCAATGATCTAATAAAACTGGACTCAGAACAACCTGGCATTCTCTTTTGCATTGTGTTCCACAGCAGAAGTAAATCCTGTGAAAATAACACATTTAAAGACTTTGGATTTGCTGGCCAGTAGCCATTACCAAGAATATCTGCAAGTGTCGGCATCAAGAATGCTGAACAAGAAACACACTTGAATGATGTACTGTTTATGTCAAAGCGACCTAACAATAGAAAAGATTAATAAACATGATAACTAAAAAGACATTATGTACATAGGATGGCAGTTTACTGTATACATGTAACTATTACAGTATGTAAGAATACTACAGTAAATTAATGAGTAAATTATATAGTAGTCCTTCACAACACTGATGAAGAAGGAAATCAAAAATGTTTAAAGATTAATGTCAACAGTTGTCGGTTCAATAAGATTACATTTTATTGGAGCAAACACAAAATTTTGCATGTTCAACATTGCAAGTATAAAATACTTTGTACATTACCTTGTGTTGTACAAATAGTCAGCATGTCCTTACTGGGCACGGAGTGAAAGGTTGATTTTCTAGAGCAGCCATGACAAAACTTTTGGACAGGATGCAAAGAAACATAGCAATCTAAGAAACAAATATAATAAATTTTCATCATTAGACTGGGAGATAAAACCTTTTTGTATAAATAATAGAATTATATCACCCCAAATTATATACCTATAAGTAGCTACATATGTAGGTTGATTTTGACATCAGTTAGCATAGTGCATATGACATTTAACATACTTTTACCATATTTACATGACATACCAACTTCAATTATTTGTCCATTTTATCCAATGAATGTGATGGCTGAAGTGGTCTGAAATGATTACCCATCCACCCATGTCTATCATGGAATGGCTTTCTTTCATGAATTTTCCTATCACATTCAACACAGACTGGCCAGTTACTACCACACTGATGACACTTTATCAAGCCTGGAGATTCCCCACAATTGAAGCATGGTGTGCCTTTATCAACTGATTCACATTGGATCAAGGTTTCGAATATGGTAGATCTATTATTTTCCCAAAGAGAATGACGCTCTTCCATGCGATCAGACCATTTCTTGGCATCCTCTTTCTCTGAAGCCAAAAGTCCTCTGCATTCAAATATAAGATTCTCTAGCTCTACAAAACAATAATGACTTATATTATAAAAAATTTAACCAATAAAGAAATTAAAAATTGTTAGCTGAGTAAGCTTGTTGTGGACAATTTCTGATTAATGCATTTACATGCATTTCAACAAATTATTGCAATTATTGATTTCAAATGCAATTATTAGTTTTACCAAAAGCATTTCAAGCATGAGCAATCATTAGACAAATCTATTACATTTAAATTAATATTATACATATACATTGATGCTTACCAATATCAACGTCTGTTTGCTTGTGCTCATCATTTACTTGAAAGTCATCAGCCACAGAGCTATCATACTGCTGGTTATCTAATATAAATTTACAATGCAATTTCTTATACAGTACCTAACTTAAACAACATTGACCTGTAACAGTTTTAGGTACAACCATGCATGGTAATGTAATGACAGTTTACTCAGTTGTCTTTCTGCTTACCCATAAGAAACTAAATAGTCAAATCTGCTAAGGACACTGGACAAAATTGTTTGAGCCATATATGATTTAAAGCAGCAAAATTGTACAGTCAATATTTCAAGTACAAAATTTCATAGCATGATGTAGTTACACATGCATACTACATATTATTTAGCATAAAATTGCAAACAAGAACAACAATCTCAACATACTACTGAAGATAGTAAATTTTAATATAAATACTAAATATTAACATTACCATTTTGCTTAATTGATCCTTGACGGCAGCGGTAAGGCGTGTGGGTCAACCTCTTACAACCAACTTGCACTAAGCGAAAATGAGAAGGCTTTTTCCCCGACATTTTGATCCTTTTCTTTCGCCAACAAGGCTAAACCATCATTCAGAACTTTCTCCAGAGTCTCGGTTTCTTCTTTTTACACGCTGTATATCAAGGTAGAATAAATAATAGCTTAATTGTAGTTAAAATTTGCCTAATTTAATACACAATGATTCCATTCCTTTTGAACAGCAATATCTATAATATGGTGAATTCTTACGTTTTGGTCGTTTTCCGCCATGTTAACTTTTCGCGGGTACGCAAAACGTATTGAATTTGGATAGTTACGGAGTTTCCTTGGATTGATGATTATTATCTATTTAAGCCGTTTTGTCAATTGATGCTATTCATCTATTTAAGCTTGAGACTGTGTTGTTATTTTCCATTTATTTTCAAAGAACCATTTTTTAATTTCAGTTTTCACGTGTACCCTGCAATTCGCAAGCCGCTGACCAAATTTTTATAAGCTTGAGGACTCAGTTAGACAACTCATTGCCCTAAACTGAAGTGGCAACCAGCAACCAGAGGTGGCAACTGTTGTGCAGCAAGAATTTTCACCAGACTGTATAATTATTTACCACAAGACACTTAGTAAATTTCTTCCAAGCTTCATCAGTGCAGTGGTAAATGCATGAAAACTGTAAAGATGTTATTCTATAAGGGTTATGTCAGCTACTAGAATTTTGCTAATATCTTCTGCAGCTTGTGTTATGCCACTTGTTGTGTGGAATCTACAAAGGTCAGTTACGTTTAGTTTGAAGAAATTAAGAAATCATGTGCAACTTCTGATGAATTTGTCAGAGATGGAAAGTTACAGTTTAGGAGTTATCTTTGTTGGTGAATCTTGCATCAAGCAAATGAATAATGAATATTGCAATATCAACAAACCAACTGACATCTTGTCATTTCCAAATCATGTAAGTCTTACTATGTGACTATTGTCTATTGATCGTGTAACATTGTTAACATAGTATAGATTTACAAGGCAATAATATACAAAAGTTCCTCCTTGTACTTGTTAATTTGTTTCTGCATAAATTCTTTAAGAGGATCAGACAGGAGGCAAAGTCATTAAACAGTACATAGTGTCAAGCTATTTAGTCATTTCATGCACATTTCCTGTCTGCCCAGCAACTTGTTGTGCTTTCTGTGGGAAGTTTATTTCATCTTGTTATTTTTACCCTCTCCAATAGGCAATAGTCCACTTCTACATGTAAGATCAGGGTTAGATTTAAGGAAGGCCTGTGAAGGGGTGCACTCTTCAAGTGTTGGTTAGAGGGGATTTAGGAGGGGTGAATATTTACCTACAAAGTAGAACACATGAAGAATTAAGCCAAAGCAATTGTAATTCATGTTTAATTGAGCACATTTCCAAAAAAACTCCCATTCATAATATAAAGGTAACAGAATTCAACAAAAAATGTATGGCATGATATGGCATTGAAATCTAATCAACAAGCACCCCTAGCAAAACCATTGTGGATCCATTCCTGTGTAAGGTGCTGTTTTCTTAATTATTCAGATAATTATTCCTGGTAACTTACATACAAATGAAGCATTGAAATTGGACGAGAACCTTGGTGATATATTTCTTTGCCCATCAGTCATCAGGAACCACTGTGTTGATGATGAAACAGATTTTCAAAATTCTCTTCCTGTATGTTTATTTATCTAACAATGAATAACTATATTAAACCTAACATGGTTTTTATATTCACATGATAAACATGTGACTTGGACGAGATTTGAACTCGCACCTTCGGGATACTAGTCTGCCGCTAAATTTATGTATGAATTTAAGCATGTGTATTTTATTAACAGGTTTATGTTACACATGGGATATGTCACTTGATGGGTTACACACATCATACCAGTGAAGATTGGACTCTGGTAATTTATTTGTAAACTGGCTTTTGGACTTTTTCTTTTTTATTTATCTGTACCACCCAAATGCGTTCCAGCTGCGTTCGAATTAAGATGGAACGCGTATCAAAACGATTTCTTGGCTGCATCTGATCATTGATCAGTAATCATCATTTATACTCGCTTTTGAAATTTTCGATGTTATACCGAGTTTATTTCATTATGTGAACAATCGGGAACGCGTCCAGAACGTGACCCCTAATTTTTTGGAACGCGAACGCAGTGTTAAGTTACTTCTGAGCGGTACTACCTCGACTCCATTTTATCCTGTCTTGCTCAGTATCTTTGTTTTCTCATTGAAACTTTCCACCTCACAAGGTATCACGTACATTCTTTTTCCTTCTCCTTACTTTGAAAGGAAGTTGAAATCATAATCAATTACATCCAAAAGTCCACATTCTTACAATGCATTTGTGTGATTTCGTATGTGCAAGCATTGCTGATCAAAATGCCATTGACTGAAGTTAATCGTGTGTTCTAATTTACTTCAGGTACTTCGAACTTAGAGGCAGTGAATTCTCCTTTGCTTTCAAGTGCGTAGTCACCAGTCAGGGGGAGCAAAGGCAATTGCCCACCCTTTTAAATTACAATTTCAAATTGGTAGCACGTTTTTGTTCAGCACGACGTAAGTTCTTGCCCCCCCTGATAAATTCCGCATACGTTTATTAAAGTGTATGCAAAATGAACATTTGAGCGCATACCTTGTTAACTTACGTTCTTCAATCTACCTGTCCCTTTAATCTTCTTTATCTGGAGAACCAGTAAACTACATCTACTGGAAGCGTTCTTATGCTTTTTTCTGCCTTTGATAACAACCGCGTACATACAACGGGAGTCATTTCATTTGGTTTAAACAATTATTTTTGGTACACATTATAGGAAGAAAAAAATTAGTTACGTATAACTCACACTCATGTCAGTATCATTATTCTATTGCAGATGTTTTCGAAGGAAAAAGAAATTTTATCGGCTTTCGCAGAAAGAACTGGAATAATCTGTTCCCCATTGACTGCTCAGTCAAATTAATATAAGTGAAAAATGTGCAAATATCAAGACTGTTGGTCCCATATAGAGTTGTACTATCAATGATGAAATAAACGTAGATTTGTGTGAACCATTACCATGTTATGTTCGTTCGCAGCTGTAATCACTACATCATCTGAAACTGATCCAGCAGGACTCGCAATATATTCCACACCACTCTAAAGAAAAAAACAAGTTGCAAACACTATTCAAACTATATTCATTGAAATCCATGCACCTAGAAGTTACTGTTGAGGCTGCCAAAAAAACAAACAAAACAAATACCATTAATTTTAGAGCTACATGTGCTTTGCCTGGAAACTGACATGGATGATAAAAGGAAGGCTCGGCGTTGACATTACATGCTTGAATATGCTTAAATAAGCTGAACTCGATGTTTCAGTAGGCTATGGTGAACAATCATTTCTTGCTATGACTTGCTAATATACCAATTATGTAGTGAAAGGAATTGAATAATTGTATACAGTGTGAATATGCATGTAGAACAATAGAGAAACAAAGTGGTGATATGTCCTTTTCATTACACGAAGATCATTTCTGTTTGTTTGGTGAACACATTAACTGCACTTAGAGCAGAAAAATATGAGGTACCTGGGCTGCGCGATCAATGTTGTCGCGAAATGGGAAAAATGCATCAGAACTTAAAGAAACTTCTTTTAGCTCCTTTAACCAAGAACTTCTTTCTTGCTGCAACATGGAACGTTTCAAAAAGTTATTTTAGATAAAAGTTACGCGACATTTGCAGCTTAAGACATTAATAATAAGTAGCTACTTTAGTAAGATCTGAAGGTGGATCTTCAAGCATCGATTCCCAAGTACTTCTACTCATATCCTTAACATAAAGCAAATATTTATCAATGTCAAAAGATTATAGGGGATGTAAAAAAACGCAATCAGTGAATGAATAAATTACAACCACAGTGACAATTGTCAAAGTGATAAAACTGTGTGTATGGAAACAGTTTAAATTCCCAGGTCTGTCACACGTGATATTATTACATGACTGGAGTCCCCTGGGAAATGATTAAATAAAACACAAATAGCACCTGTCCCACTGTTCCGTTGACAAACACGTCAATAACGTTAGATTTTTCTGCTCGTTTTACTCCCTAACGTATGCAAAGCAAAGTATTACTTAATAAACATGCACGATGTGATGGCTTAGTGTAGAATATCACGTCTACTACAAGGTCATTTTACTCTACTTACCGTTCTGAATTTCATTCCAAGAACCTTGGGATGTTGTCGAAGCCACCTAAAACATTAAATAAAACGATTCAATCATGTCCGTATCAATTTGACATCGATTAACAGTCGTATTTACCAAATACCAACCAATTATTACTTTTATCACCAGCCAGACGAGTGCAGTGAATACGTAATTGTTGACCAGCTCCAATTCCGATGACCTGAAGAAATAAATAGAGGTTGGGCTCATCATTGCAACAATATTCGTACGTTTCATTATCGAGCAAAAAAGGCAAAGAGCAGTTAGGAAGTTTAATTTTACGTATGGTTATGGTAAGTTTTTATAGGAAAAAATCAGTCGTTACACTAAATCTTCAGTTGGTTAAAAGAAAAATAGACAAGCACATTATGAAGTACCTGGCCATTCTTAGCATAGCAAACAGAATTAGATTGTGTATACTTGAGCGCTACTGTTGCCACGACCAAGTCACGTAATGCTTCGCCACTTATCTGGGCAAGAATACAAAGCCAAGAACAAATAAATAGGTATGTTACATAATTACACAATATCCCATCTACAGGCTTAAGCATGTAACTGACAATAAATGATTACCTCGCATCTTTTTGTCTTCACATTTTCAAACAATTTCTTGTCAATCTTTCCATTATTCCTGATTTGCTCCATTTTCAAGCCAAATAGCGTTCGAGTTTCTGACAATGGTGGCTCATAGTTTGGGTTCATCTAAAGCACAGAACATGTATACTCATGTCATGTTGGTCATCTCCATTGATTTTTGTGCAAGCGTAATACACAATTAATTTGCCACTACATATGCGTCTGTAGTATTTTTATTAAATGTGCTAATGTAGCTAAGTTTCTTAATTATCAACAAAAATTGATCAGAAAAGTCTACAGTATGCTTCTTTTGATCAGCATTACCGTCAATATGTTGAATGAGTCTCGAATTGTTGAAGATGATTTCGTGTTTTATTTTTATCAGTTGGGAACGCTATAGAAGCTAAGTTGATGGCCAACACACTCATAAGTTTGATATATTTTATTAATCACGGTTTCACATACAGATATGTATACTCGACTAAAGACTCGAAATTACTGCTCATCCATAGCGAATACAGTCGCTAAACACCCCTTACTCACGTAATTGTACACTACTAACGATTAACTGTACGATTACGTAATTCAAATCGTCCAGTTCCCTATACATTATGTAAGTTTATGACTAATCACAAACGTCAAAAAAAAAGAACTAGGGATCCAAGGATAGTGCAAAGTTAAAAAAAAACACACCTTTTGACTTGTAAATTGTATCAACCGCAAAATGTTTCATAATAGTCACATATTACTACAGAAATTATCTTCATGAGCATGCGCAGTCCACTCGACCAATTGTTCGAGTTCATAATCATAGAAACGACCAACTGGATCTCCTTACACAGCTCTGGGAGTAACTAGCTTGCTTGCGCTCAATCACAAACTATTAGAAATATCAAGGGGAATTTGCAGTCAACCGAAACAACTGTCAGTTTAAGCCTAAGGCTAAATACATATACATATAGTATATGTCAAATGGCTGCATAGACTGGGTGTTATAAGGTTGCAATTCGCGAAAGCACTCTCTCTGCATATCACCAGGATGGTCTGAAGCTTTCCTATAGAAAGCACAGTCAAACAGTGCAGTAGGAGCCAAAATCTCACACCAAACGTTACCATGCGACGCTCTAGTGTTCAACTGCATCTGGAGGCATGGACCGAACATAATTTTTTGATTTTCAAAATTTAGCTCTTGCAACGCTAATGTTAGCTCTGGAAATACATTCCATACATCCCATTCAGTTTTCTTTCCTCGACCTCCAAAAAAGGAAACAGTATCACACCCCGTAAAAGCGCGAAACAACGGTAGAACAGATGCCTTGTCAGGTCCGATTGTCCATGCAATTGTATGAGCGGGAATATAACGCGAGTGCTTTCCTGTGCCATAAAGAATCCATAATTCTTCTGCTTTGATGTTTTTCACAATTGAAATGGCCAGTATCAACACGTCAGTATCATTTGTTCTTACAACAATCCTCTGGTGGCTGCAGTCACTTGCATCTAACACGTGCACCATCAATTGTGTGTCAGCCTCTTCATGATTACATGGTTCCAACATTGATACTTCGGTTCTTTTAGGGAAGCACAAGACCTTTTCTTCAAATGTACTGTAAATTTCTCTTCCTTCTTGAATCTGCTGGGAAATAACTTTCTGCGCTAAGAAATCGAATAGATCCATTTTGTTGGCATCTACGCGCAGGAAGCCCTTCCAGTCAGTAGGGATACGTTCTGTCGATGAAACCTTGCGGCGTTGACCAAAGCCTGTCTTCTCCCGTGCGTTTTTTTTCAGCGAATCCTCTTTGTATACATCCCACACTAAATCAATTCTTTTAGCTGATTGAAATTGCTTTAACACATAAGGAATGAAAGCAAACTGAGCGTACTCTTCGAACGTTTCCCAAGTTCCAGGTGAAATCATTTGAACAACAACAGCCCCGTCTAAAATAATAACATCGGGAGTTGGTGACTGAACTTTGGTAATGGGCTCGATACACTTTGTCAAGTCTGCTTTATTACCAGTACGCAAACTTCCTGCTTGTGAGAGAGATGGTGGCCATGGTTGGTTCTCATATTTAAAGAAATCATCGAGATCACCACTTCGATTTTGACTGGCTATATACAATCTTGAAAATAAAGCACAGTCTAGTTTCAGAGTTTGCATATTTACTTTATCTTTTTACGAAACTCTTCTTCTTCCTGTTTTAAGCGTTGGCAGATTATTTTTTTCAACGTTTCAGTAATACTCTTGCTTCTCTCAACAAATCTTTCTTTAACAAATGCTTGATATTGTTCTTCTCCAAGGGTTACAACATTCTTCACCGTGTCAACAACGGAACTGTTCATTCATCACGTCATTTGTGTGGATGGCAAATAGGTCTTCGCTCTCTTCTACAAAAAGATTCCCCATCGCTTGAAAATTGGAGACGACATTTGAGACATCTTCATAAAATTCTCTTTAAATGGATGGAGTTTGCTCATGGTGTAGCTGACTGTCTACATGTGTACTCATCTCGAATTCCCTAATTATTTGTGCAATTTCTGGACCTGCAATCATCCATCTTCTTAAAGCTGAAAGGTTTTCGGTTAGTCCCACAGCACCACCTTCTCCCTTTACCACTGCATTAACCTGCTCGTGAGCATGATCTAATGCTATAGCTGAAAACTGTTTCTTCGTTTTATGCACCACAAACGAGCCCTTGGAGAACTGGTTAAAGACGTCAGGATGTTTGAATGGAAGCTCCGACATATCACGGATATGGACAGAAACCCATCTTGCATAATTAACATTGTCCAAATCAAACATCCAAGGGACAAGTTGCTTAATTGACTGGAAGTATAAGGAGAAATTAGCTTCTCTAAATGATCGCACTAGTTGTAAACAAAGTAATTCTAGTTCCAAAACTCTGGTCGAATACAGAAACTGAGGATGATCCTTTGACATATCTTCTTTCCAAATAGGTTTTTTCAATTAGGTTATTCTGAATGCTAGCACAAGTAAGGTAATAAATCTTAAAGAAACTTAATTGAATGTTCTTCATTGTTTCGATACGATTTATCATTGCACTATGGTGAAAGCCGGGAGGGCACATTGTTATACACTTTATATATATATATATATATATAAGTTTGAAAATTTGTAATCCAGGCATTACACCTCATCAATCACATTAATCCACCCACTAATCCAATTAGACGCTCTAAGCGTCTCAAGCTAAAAGCACGTGTAAATAAATATCCTCATTCTGATGAAGGCTCGAGCAACGAGTCAAGCTCAATAAAAATCATTCAAAATCCGGAGAAACTTTTATCTTTTATATATATATATATATATATATATATATATATATATATATATATATATATATATATATACAAAGTGTATAACAATGTGCCCTCCGGCTATCACCATAGTAAAATGGTGACTCCTGCACTTAGGACACAGGACGTACAGTTACACATTGTATGGATTGTATTGTAGAGTCACCAGAGCGCTCAAACCTATATAGTTGAGCAATGCATAAAGCGAATGCGGTGAACGTCTCTTTATGAGACTCCCTACGCAATCCGAGAGCGCTCAAACTGCGCAAGCGCAGTGAGCGTAATATACAAAGTGTATAACAATGTGCCCTGCCGGGCATATTGTTAGCACTTTTATATATAAAATATATATAAAAGTGCTGACTCAGCACTTTTCAGAATATTCCATACACAATATTTGGGAAAGTATTGCCCAAAAGAAAAAGTTGTAATATAGTTTTTCTATCGTCTTTAGCTGTTGCATAAGAATATACAGGGAAATTGCAAATTTCTCTGAACTTTATTTTTTTTACTACCGATGACGTCATCAAACACGACATTCGCAGAACTCGTTTTAAATGTAAAATATGGGCTGGCCCTATATCAAAATTTTGTGTTACTATGCATAGTAAGAATGTGAGAAAGTTTCATACTTGTATCATCAAAGTGAAGGGTTAGGTGTTTTTTTGTCGTTAACAGCTGGACTATAAGCTGTGACAAACCACTAAAATATAGAATAACCATTGAGAATAACAAGTTTCATATGCGTATTTAACCGATATGCGGCTAAATGACGAGAAGAATTCTTTTTTCGATTTCAGGTTTGGACAGTTTTACTTTTTTACACATTTATTGTTTTGTATTCTTTGTATTTTACATATATTGTCATATGCTCAACGATTTTAAATCATCATAACGATACTCGATGAAGCAATGAACAATATACAATGAACGTAACAGTGGCGTATCCAGCCCGCTTTATTTAGCTCTGCTATACAATTATTTCTTTGTTCACTAACTGTAAACAATTTGTTTACAGTTAACTGAATTTGTAACTGTAACTGTAACTGAATTTGTAACTGTAACTGAACTGTAACTGTAACTGAATAACTGTAACTGAATTTGTTTGACTTTTTGAACACACTTATTTCTAACATTTTGGATTGAGTTGGAGTAATAATCTGTTGTGGTAAGAAAACAGTCAGAAGAATGAGCTTTTTTATAATTAGGACATTGCGCAAAGTTTCCTGGCAGTGACTTGTGTTTGATATCAGTCTGAGTTTGGCTTATATTGGCTTTTGGTTGAATTATATGGGGATCTAAAGTAAATAGGGGATGATTGGAAAACTTCCCAACATTTGGTTGTTGAAAAACAGCACAGATGTGTTTACAAGGCATCTTCCGACTCCTGTAATCGAGACATTGGCAGGAAGGCATTTGGTCGTTTGATCCCAGAAAAACTTGATATGTGGATGATGAGCTTGTGACAGTGAAATGTTTTGTCGTTTCCATCTTGATGTTTTTACTTGGAATGTCAGATTCCATCCGTTGAATAATATGAGAAACAACATACTTTGATCTATTGTGCAGGAACTTTGGGATTTGTTTGCTGTAGGACTTGTACGAATCGGATGATTTGATATTCTGTTCCTTATATCTATAAAGAGAAAATTGTAAGTACACTTATACTTTTTTGATTATCGTTAAAGCTCACTGATTGCGAATATCTTAAATAATCTTAGTTAATGTTGAAGATAAATTTGGTGAAAAGACAGAGAATGTTTTAACAGTTTGTTTTTTCTGGTTGTTAGAAAGTACCATTAACTTTAACTTTTAGTCTTCGATTTACATCATTTAATCCATTTTACACATTTGTACTATTCTGTGTACTTTATGTGCCCCTTTTATTATAATCATTTAATCCATCACACTCGTCTGTACTTCTCTGTGTACTTTATGGGCCCCTTTTATTATAATCATTTAATCCATCACACACATCTGTACTTCTCTGTGTACTTTATGTGTCCCTTTGATTTTAAGCATTTAATCCATCACATTTATCTGTGTTCATTTTGTATTTATCATGATATATCAATTTTATGTCACTTTTAGTGTTGGAAAAACAACACCAAATCAAAAAATCTTTAATGAAAAATGGCTAGAAGAATCTCTTGATTCTCTTTCGCAGTTTAAGCGATGTCATCAAGGACGGTTGACTCCTTCGATGAAGATTAATATGGATCACCAAGGTAGTTTTTTGATACACAATTTAACGTTCGTTAGTATTGAAGTGGACTTGTTAGTATTGAAGTGGACGTGTTAGTATTGAAGTAGACACTTTAGTATTGAAGTAGACGTGTTAGTATGGAAGTGGACGCGTTAGTATTGAAGTGGACTTGTTAGTATTGAAATAGACGTGTTAGTATTGAAGTAGACACTTTAGTATTGAAGTAGACGTGTTAGTATGGAAGTGGACGCGTTAGTATTGAAATGGACACGTTAGTATTGAAGACTCGTTAGTATTGAATTGGACGCGTTAAATGGAATCCAACTGACCAATGATTGTTAACCTTCAGTAAAATTAAACAATGGACGCTCACCTTCTGAGAAAATTGACCTCATTGGTCAGTTGACCTCTAGAGAAATTGACCTCATTGGTCAGTTGACCTCTAGAGAAATTGACCTCATTGGTCAGTTGACTTCTAGATAAAATTGACCAATGAACGTTCATATCAACTGTTGTGATCATAAACATTCTATAGGAGATGCTTTAGACGAATTTCTTGTCGAAGATAGTCATATTCAAGACGATGGTGTAAACTTAAGGTAATTTCAGTTGTAATAGGAATGAAGCTCTAACAATTCAAAGAATAGCTTTTGTTGCAGGCATTTCTCGTTTCTCCCAAACTTTGTCTTGTGTTTCTATTATTCCTTAGAAACACGAAAATTGTTTTGTATTTCTTAAAAAGTTTTATAATTGTTGAATTGATATCTTCAAAGAGATGTCTTTCTTTTTACGTAGTGTAGTTGATGATTTTACAATTCTTGAGTTACCAAGCGGTCAAACCCTTGTCATAAACATTCTTACAACCTGGGGTGACCAGTATTACGTTGGATTAAATGGCGTCGAGATATTCAATAGCTCTGGTATACCTGTTCAGATATCATCAGTTAGTATTAAAGTCGTTTATCCCTTGATGTCGTTGTTTATCCTATAGTATCTATAGTATCATCGTTTATCCCATGATACGTATGTTTTATCATTATTTATCCCTGTGATATCTTTTGTATCATTATTTATCCCCGTGATATCTTTTGTATCATTATTTATCCCCGTGATATCTTTTGTATCATTATTTATCCCCGTGATATCTTTTGTATCATCATTTATCCCCATGATATCTTTTATCCTCGTGTATCCCGTGATATCTTTTGTATCAACGTTTGTCCCATGGTATCTTTTTCAAGATCACAGCCAAACCATGTGATATCAAGGTTCTTCAAGAATACAACAAAGACCCAAGGGTTGTATCAAATCTTATTGATGGAGTTTATTTCACAAGGTAATAATTTCAACTTAATCTTATCCACATTATTTGCCACGGACACTGGAGCGGTCAGCAATAGTTGATACGCCTTGCACTCCGTTGGAAAGACGTTTTTGTGTTTGAAAGCAAATAACGCAACGTCTTGAAGGGATTTAGGTTCTGATTTAAGTTGTGATGACACAATATTATTGAAAGTTTCCAACTCCAACAGCAGTATTTCTGCATCAACATCTTTTACCGCCTGTGGAAAAAGACTACAAATTTCATTGACTGTTTCAGCCATCGGCCTTTCTAGCGGCAGCTTTAAGCTCTCTCCAAGAGGTTTTATTTTGTCGATGCAATCTTTAATGTTATCGGTATACTCGGTAATAAGTGAGTCTAGAACCAAGTACATTTCCTTTCGGTAGAAATCTTTAAATGATATTTCTGTTGTTATTTCGGAATACTCGCCAATTCGTTTGGGTGGCTTTCTTGATCGATGATGACGAGTGTATTCTGCCATTACGTCTATTCCTACTTTGGTTCCAAATGCAACCATTGCCTCTATCTCCGAGTCTAATCCGTTCTCGTCACTTCGAATTTGTCTAAGGTTTTTTACTGTAGCATCAATCAGGTTAAGTGCATCTACTATATTTAGCTCCTCCTGCAGTTGTTTGGTTAGGATTTTGGTTTTGTCATTATGATTCGCATGAACATAAGAGCAAAAGAAAGTCGAAACTAAAAATTTCTTTTTATTCCATCGCCTTTAGCTTTTACTTTTGATTCTACATCTCGAGCATTGATAACTTTCACAATAGCATTTGGTATTACCTCATAACTTCTCCAGACAGCATCAATGGACTCAGAATTATAAACCCATCTCGTCTTTGACAAGTTTCGAAACTTTAAATTGTTTTCAACATCTTTGCAACTTTCTTCTATAATTTTATTTCTTTTGTGCTTTTGATAAAAACACATATACGTCTTCTAGAGCGTCGTACATTGATGTAATTATTGAGCTATGTTTGCAACAATGCTCGTTGAATGTATTAGACCGATGTCCCTGGCACGGGATGTAAGGCACTTGTCGTTTTAAAATTTCTTGCGACACTTTTGAGCACCATTTAGTCGTCCAGACATTGATGTTTTGAAATCGTATGTTTGAAATGCAAGCATATCTATATCGATTTCATTTTCCATTAAAGATTTTATGACATCTTTAGCCGTTCCAGCACCAGTTTTATCAAGGGTCTCTTTCATTTCAACCAGTCTCTCGCATGGGATGCCCATTTGGTTGACATATCTTACAGCAACGATAAGCTTGTCTTGATTCGATATATCAGGTGTAGTGTCTGCAGACACAGAAAATACACCGGCTGACTTAATTTCAGCACGAATTTCATCCCTCACAGGTTGAGCCAGCAAATGAAGCATCTCATTTTGTGCCTCTGAGCTTGTATATGTTGTACTGTATGGCTTGAGGTGCTGATCGTCCAGCCACAGCTTGAGAACAGGACAATGTCTTGAGAGAAGATTTACAATCTGAATGAAATTTCCGTCCTTGTCATCGCCTCCTCCTCTGAACGCCAATGACTGCCTTGCCAGAGTGCGAGCCACATCAAGTAGAATCAACATAATTTCCTTGTTCTTTTCATCATCACATCAAAATGGGCAGATGTTATTGAGAAAGGAGCAAAGTCAGCCAGAGCAGCTTGATGGGACTTGCTACTGAAGTGTTTATGAAGTTTTCCTTTCTTGTTTGCACCAACACTCCTCATTTTCTTCCATGATCGTACACCATTTATCCATGCTGGATCACTTTTTCTCGTCCTGGTCCACTTGGAAATAATGAGCATACAAAGGGAGCATACAAGGGAGCCTACAAGGCCATGTAAGTAATCGAATTGATCAGGTGACATCCTAAAATAGTGGAAATAACCTTCGTGGTCTCCATTTCGTAATTCCTTCACTAAAGTGAAAAATTCGCTATGTTGAGATCTCTTTTGGAATATCGGCCTGATCCAAAAACGTTTGCGGCATTTTTCACGCTGTCTTCTTCGACTTCGCAAATAGAGTAAAAGAATTGTTTGCTTTCTAGTCAGAGGACTCATTCTTCACTCCTTAAGCGTCCGCCATTTTTTTTCTTAGCTCGCTGAAAAACAGTTATCAAACAACGAGTACTCGAAACAGACACGAACAATTGCCAGTTCTCGCAGCGAGCTGCGAGTTGATTCGTGCCATAGGTGGAAATGAGGCTTTAGCTAATATATGAATCAAAACAGCGATAGCGACTTATAGCGACAGCGATAACTTTATTTTGGAACAGCGACTGTATTCTTCCAGTCTTCACTCCATTGCTCGATACCAAAATCCATTGGTGTACCAGTGGATTTTGGTGTAGAGCAATAGAGTGAAGACCAAACGTTCAAAAGCGTTTGGTCTTCTTGCGTTAGGTCTTCTTGCATCTTCTAAGCGTTTGGTCTTCTTGCGTCTTCTAAGCGTTTGGTCTTCTTGCGTCTTCTTGCGTCTTCTTGCGTCTTCTTGCGAAATGAGGCTAACAGCCTCATTTCAACCTATCGCACAAATCAACTCGCAGCTCGCTGCGAGAACTCGCAGACTCGCAACTAGTATTTTTTATGACCTTGCAGATAGTTCAGATTTTTCAACTATTTTTTTCTCACATCTATGTCAAATAAAAATTCACCAATGAAAGAAAGGCTACTGATCACGTGGCATCGTTTTTAGCATTAGTTTATTATATTATTGTTAAATAATATTAATTTATTGCCTTATTTGTTGTCCGTTGTCCGAATCATAAAAATACGTGCTCAGAAAGTAAGACTCATCTAACTTTTTAAAACTTGAGAATGAAACGACTTTTAATATGAATTGACTTTATTTGTTTTAAAAGAGTATATTTATTTGTAATAATATATAATTTTAATGTTATATCATTTGCTGAGTGATGATAGTTCAAATGAAGAGGTAGACGTTAAGATTAAATCATGTAATACTTATTTCATTAGTCTTTTGATTGTTCAGAATAAAATACGAATCTTTTTAATACGAATCTTTCAATTGTCATTTATCCATCTGTTAAAAGCTGATTTTTGTATTTAATTTACTGGATGTGTCTTTTTTACAATGTCTTTATACGTTTAGGCTGCACAAAGTGAAAAGTCATCAAACTGTGATTCAGATAACCAAGAAGAGAGTTCTTATCAAATTTAATATCAAAAAATGATGGGACCAGTAGGTTACCCAGAAATTATTTACAGAAGTAGTATTAAAGATTTACACGGTAAGTCAATTGCTATTATCAACCAGTCAGTATGTCTATAGCTCCTTTAAGTCAATGCTCAGCTTCAGATATAAGAGGGGAAATAAATGGATCACTTGTGCAGGACAGTTAAGAGTTCTATCACAACTTTTCATCAGTGTGAGAATATTCTTAATGAAGCGATAATAGATAATGATAGACACGTAAACGCGAAGCGCTTTTCATAAAAAGTGAAGCACATAGCAAAAAAAAAATACAAGATTTGTCTGTGAAACTTGTAAAAAATTGTTCAATTGTCATCAACAAAGCACAGCGAGATGAAATTGAAATTAGTGCCTAGTTTTAGAAGAAAGCACTAAAATTACTTCTCGTGATCCAAGCGAAAAGCCACGAGATATGAATGACGATCAAAGAACGTTTCTCATGCAACAAGGACCCTGTCAACCTAGATTGAAGTCTTTACCTGTAAATGAAACAAAAAAAATAGACCTAACAAATTTAATGCATCCTGGTACGACTCTTTCCCTCATCTTGAGTACAGTCAGAAGGAAAGAGCGATAAAAGTCGTGATGTCATTTGTTCAGAACAACGATTAGCGTTGACACTTCGCTATTTAGCATCAGGAGACAGCCCACGAAGTTTGTCTTTCAGTTATAGAATAGGAGTGACAACTGTACACAGAATTATTTCGAATACCTGTTTGGCAATTTGGAATGCTCTTTTGTCAAAAAGGATATTTGAAAGCTCCCAGTTCACCGTATGAGTGGTTAAAAATAGCTGATGAATTCAAAAGAATCTGGAACTTCCCTAATTGTTGTGGGGCCATTGATGGCAAGCACATAAAAATACAAGCACCAGCAGGATCAGGAGTTTGTACTATAATTATAAACACTGGCATAGCATTGTTCTCATGGCTATTGCTGCAGCAGACTATTCATTCATATTAGTTGACATTGGCGATAATGGTCGTCATAGTGATGGAGGTGTGTGATGAAGCATTTCCATTGATGAAAAATCTGATGCGTCCCTGCCCTGGCAAATTTCTACCACAACATGATCAAATTTTCAACTATCGCCTTTCCAGGGCCAGAAGAGTTGTTGAAAATGCATTTGGCATTGCTGCCTCAAGATTTCGAATATTGAGAAGGGAAATTATTGCCAAACCTATGAAAGTTGAGAGGATTACCATGGCTGTAGTTGCACTTCATAATTTCCTGATAAAGTCGGAGGCAAAACAACCAGCATGTTCTAGACATTATTTACCCCATGGTTTTGTGGACAGTGAGGACAGGTATGATTAGATTCCTTAATTTTTTTCAAGAATACCATAATTCAAAAATTTTAATGAATCAATTTTGATGAACTCAAACTGATGTGAAATTTTCTTGACTTCTTAGACAAATTTGAGAAGAGATTTCATTTGCAAGAGAATTATTATCTTTATCCCCTTATTTTAGAAATGGAAAAATTTTATTGGGCTCATGGAGAGCCTCTGTGGAGAATGCACAAGGCTTAAAGTCAATTGGGAGACAAGGCTCAAATTTTTATAAGAAAGATGCCTCGGAAGTACGAGATCAATTTAAAGAGTATTTCATAAAACCAGAGGTTCCATGGCAGCAAAATCATATATCTTTTAATGGGAACCTTGAATGACTATGATTTATTCTTTCAACATTCTTTTCCTCTTTGCATGGGTATTTTTTATTAAATTAGATGTAGTTTATGTTAATATAGTTTGGAAAAAACCTTGTCTTGTTTCTTAAAACCAAAGCTGAAAGCAAATATATAGAATATAACATGTACAAACAGTAAAACAGCTCTCTTTTACAATTACATAATCATTTACAAAGAAATTCAACTTTATAACAATGTTTTAAGACAGTTTATGATATAGTTGATTTATTCCTTGTCTTTTTGGTCAAGGACTTGTGAAAAATTTGTCAAACTGGATTCCACTTGTGCTATCTTCATTTTGGCTAATGATTTGTGATAATTATCAAACTTGCTTAATGTGACTCCAACATATTTACTATATGCAATACAATCATCCTCTACTGAATTGCTTTGGTTTCCACAGGCATTGCCATTCTTTTCATCTGCTTTCAAAATTTCTAATATTTCTAGGTCAATTTTTCGATCCACAGAAGTTTTTCTTTTTATGGGGGAGTGCTTTAATTTTTTTCTTCCAACTGGACATAACTCCAACCCTCTCTTGTTTTTCTCTGTAATTGGAGTTGATGTTAGTGCTCCAATGCTGTGTTTCTCAATTTCATTTGAATCACTCTTAACAATATCTTCCTCATCAATTTCGTGAAGTTTTTCACTGCTTTGGTTGCAACTGAGGTTGCTTGAAGTGGCTCTGTGCAATATGGTTTCCCTGATGAAATCTATGCTTCTAAACCATTTCCATCTTATTTTTTTTCCTGTTCCAGAATCTGAAGGTAAATTCTGATTTCTTACATTTTCTGAAAAAGTATCTCTTAATCCTTTCCATTTCGCTTGACATGATGAAACTTTGAAGACAAAATAGAAAAATAATTAAAAATTATACTGTTCTTTAGCAATTCTATAGCATTTTTTAGTGTTTTCGGACTGACCTGGTAGTTCAACTTCGTTTGCCACACATTGCCATGCATTTTCTTTTTGTGTTTTGCCTCTGTATCCACGGCTTTTTACCATGTACAAAACGTGAAATTTTCTTACTGTTTCGATTAAAAGTTCGATCTTTTTATCGCTCCATCTTTCGTTTCGTTGTGTATCCGACATTTGTAGTTTGTTTTTTGAAAAAAAAATGGGGAAAATGACAATATCCTAAAAACGATGCCACGTGATCAGTAGCCTTTCTTTCATTGGTGAATTTTTATTTGACATAGCTGCGAGAAAAAATAGTTGAAAAATCTGAACTATCTGCGAGGTCAGAAAAAATACTAGTTGCGAGTTTGCGAGTTCTCGCAGCGAGCTGCGAGTTGATTCGTGCGATAGGTGGAAATGAGGCTTAAAGCAAATATATGAACCCCCTCAAGACAGTAAAAACTGTATTGAGGGGATTCATATATTTGCTTTAGCTAATGTTCTTCGAAGACCTATTCTTGTATTATGTCACCATTCTCATCATGGTGACTGTGATGTCAAATTGCTGGTGTAGACCTTGGTGGCATATACTTACCACTGTTGGCTGACTCCGTAGATTGTATCAAAATTCCTCTTCCGATTGGCTATCACCATGGACACTTTACAGAACTTGTGATGGCAGAAAATAATGAAGGAGTACCATTAATGAAATATGATGGTGAGCCTATGAAAGTCCGTTGTTTGTTACCGGAGGAAAGCAATTACTCAGATCGATTACTACGTGAATATTTAAACTGTTTAAAGTTAGATTACACTGATGAAAATGGGTGTAAAATGGAAATACTTGTAGCGAAAATGCAAGCCTGTGATACTTAAATAGCCTTGTGGAAAGCCTTGCATGGACGCTGTTCCAACGTGGGCTTCAAGGTGTAATGTGAATAATAAAGCACTTTTATTTAAGAAAGGCTCTCTTATATACACGAGCTTATAAAACTAATAAACGTTTATAAGCTCAATAAACCTTTATTTTCTTTGAACTTTAGTCAGTGATGAAAACGTCGTCTTTCGTTATCTGATGTCATCGACTATAAGCGTTTATTAAACGTTTGAGCTTATAAAAGATGTTTGTACTAAATAGCGTTTTTGAAGAAAGTCAATGCAGTCGACTTATTAGATGAAAAACTATGCAAAATGAAAAATTCACATGGACTTCGCTGTGCGCATGCCTTATTATGTTGTTACACCAAAGAAAATGATAATTACGTTGCATATAAATACTTTACATAGCCTTACCATGCTTGTCATTCAGGTTTCCCATGCCAATGACATCCACCATATCATCATGATGTTCTGTGTCCAAAGAACTGTTTTCATCCGTTCATCAGCTACCTAAAATATTCGGTTACGCATAACTATTCACTTTAATTAAACAAGTAACATTTGCAAGTAATTTAATTTTAATTGTGTACTAGAAAGAACAAAAGTCGAGAAGTTGGGGATAAAATACCCGGATCGCCACCGGATCGCCCGCAAGCCCATGACTTATCGACTTATCGTCAATTTAGTTACTCGAGAAACGATACCTCGTTCTCATAAGCGATAACAAAACTAATATTCCCAATCCAATTCCAGTAGTTTCCGTTGTCGTTTCATGTAATGCAATGTTCCTTTCTGTTGCTTGTGTTTTTCCAAACTATCTGTGAGCTTTTTCAAAAAAAACATTTTTATGTTGTGTAGAATATAAACTGCTTTGTATATCATTTATATTCATTCTACAACGAAGGTAACTAAAACTCGATTGTGATTGACTATGAGAATACACATAATTCTCAATGTCTTGCCGTCAGCAAAAAATGTAGGTGACGTAATTTTTGACAACTGCACACAAAAATAAATGGCAAGGAAAATCTTCCTAGACATTTGCCGAGATTACCGACGATTTGGCTAATTTTAAGGTTAAGGACGCAAAACCCAAAACAGCAAACTGAAATTTTTAACGAGCGAAAACGAAACAGCAAAAGCAAAATTAAAATTATGAAAAATATTTAACCACGTTTAAGGATTGCCATGACTTCGTCCATTAGATACCTTTGCGTATGTAGATTAGAGTCCTGTAGTTTTAGAAAAAATAGCAGGTAGAATCAGAAACAGAAAGATTTATCAAAACATTTATAAAGTGTTACATCGTTTTTCTTAATTTTTTATGCAAATTGACAGAAGCTAAAAGAACAGTAAAAATGAGGGGTAAATATTCTTATAGTCAGTTTCGCCAAACAGTTTTTTAAAATTCAATTTAATTTATCAGTAGGGACAACGGAATATATGAATTGCACATCCACACACACAATTAACGTTCTAGTTACGCCTCTGCGCCTGCAGACAAGAAAAAAAGAGTTTAAGCCTGGCCTCATTATAACAAGTAGTTAACTATATATATATATATATCATCGTCAAGTTTTTATTATAAAATGTATTATGTCTAAAAATAGTCATAATACATCTTATAAAAAAACCGGGGATCGTTTTGAGGCAGTCAGCGGTAGTAAACATAA